AGATCATAATTTTGAGCTGAATCAGAGAACGATCGATCTTCAATCCAGTACCCCCAGAGGTATTGATTTGTTATAGGAACATGGAAGAAGCATTTTACAAATCTTTTTTTGTCATCATCTTCAATATTAAAGAGGTCTTTTTTCAAATTCCTAATTCTCAGCATGTATTCAAATTAAAATTATGCTTGTTTTTTTGCCATTTTCCAAGCAATAATATAATGCAGGGTTGGCAAGATTTTGCCGCAGGTGGAAAAAACCATGGTAAATACCGGTAAAAACCGTCCTGGCAAAAACAGGTTTTTGCCAAGCAAAGTGGCAAAAAGTGGCAAAAACCTATATTTTCCAAGATGAGAGNGAAGAAAAAAGTAAAGAAAGTGAAAACAATCAAAATACATTCCACAGAAAGAGGGGACTCATGATATGGAACCAGTATCCAACCCAGGTGGTACATTGTTATTATATATATATATATATATATGAATAAGTACATTAAAAAAAAGTACCCAGAAAAGTTTTAAAAACCTAGGCTAAGTTGCCGAAACATCACAGCAATTGCTTAACCAAAACTAGAATGGTGCTAGTTGGCAATTAATCTTGATCACTCCAATACAGGATTTTAATTTCATATTTTCTATACTTATACTCGTAAATATAGCAACTGTAGTATGCTAGAATTTTTTTGTACTAGTCTGGTAAATTTTGCATCCTTGCAATGAACACTTTATGAATCTTTTAACTTTTTTACAGCAGGGTGAACATTTTGGATAAGACATCTAACTATCAATTGATCCTATGCTCAGTGCATTGTACCTGATTAATTTGATGCTCCTGATTATTTGCAATTTTTTATGAAAGAAAAGTTCAAATATAGCTGCAAATAAATAAAGTTTAATTTTTTATAATTTGTTATTTTTGTATAAATAATCAATTATGAAAATTATCAGTCTTGGAAAGCTTTACTGTAATTTATGTTTCATTTTAGTTCTTTATTAGAAGCATTACTCATATACACTTTTCCCACTTATAATTTTTTTTTAGCAGTCCTTTGGGCCAGAGTAGAACTGAAAGGATTTTTGCTATTTTAAAGCAGAATAACTTTACATCACTTATGAATGAGCTATAAGTAAGTAAACATTAAACCAAGACTGAAAAAATACAACTATGAAAACATTTTGCGCTACCCATGATTAATGTGAACTTTTTATGTACCCTATTAAGACCCCCATTCCTCTCTATTATTGAGTTTAATCTTGAGAAAATCATCTTATTTAAAAACTAGAAAAACAAAATTTATACATACTACTAGAAAGAGAATATTTTTAAACTGATAATTTCATACATTTTCAAACTTCCTTTTATAACTTTTCTATTGTGCTAATTATTAATACCTATTGTGTAAATAATCATAATTACTTGTCATTGTAAGCCACAAATATAATATAGTTGATTTCTTGTCATTACAACATCTATTGTTGTTTCTAATGACACTTAGACAAGCCAAACTCACTAACCATTGGCCTTGTGAATTAAGTCAGGAAGGAGTGCCTTTCATTTGACAAAAGAGCATCACTAGTGTGAAAGTGCAACTTAGCTCAGAACCCCCTGATGGATGGCAGCATCACTCATTCGTGTGGCCACTTCCACAATTTAGACATAAATCTGAAGGGGAAGAAAATTTTCTCCGGTTTCCTGCACCCATGATACTGCTCATCGACAAACCACAACTTACAAAAACACGAAATAAAATATTGTGTTCTACATTATCTATTCAGATTCTCAAAATTAGCACAATTAATAAATTAAAATTAACTCAGTTCACGCAAAAAAAAAAAAAAACAGGATTAAATTAAAAGAACAAGATCTTGTTTAATACATATAGCAATTAAAAGCATCTTTCTGCACTCTAAAATAAGATTATACTTTTTGGTAAAGCTAAAAAATGTGCCAATCTAAGTAGCTAACATATGCCTTTGATACATTCAATTAAAGAAGAAATTAAAATTAGCAGCAAGAACTAGTGAAATTGGCTTAAGTAAATTCTTATGTTTTTAGCATATTTCCCAAGTAATCAAAATTATAGGCAGTTTTAGTGATATATCATGAAAACAATTAAAATATACAATCTAGCCTCGTAAACAAAGAATTGTTAAAAATTTCTAATTTTTAAGGTTGAGAATTGTGCACAAAGAATGAATATCAATTCATTCCATCTTAAATTTTTGCAGTCACTAAGAAGCAAAACAATGTACGCAAGATGATGAAGATATCACAGAAATTGGTAATTCTGTAGCTGAAGAAGGTATTGCCGATTAAAGTTCTCATGGTAGTCGAAAACATAAAAGAGAACACTCACCCGAAGAAGAGAAGGAAATGAAAAGACAAGTAGAAGAAAACATTGTTTCAGAAAAGCAAGCTAAAGAACCTATGGAAGTTGAAGAATATTAAGTGCAAGTAGCCAACGTTAATCTTAGTGAAAATATTGGATATCGAAATTGAAAAGCTAGAAAAAAGAAAATAAGAGGAAAATTGCTGAGAAATACATTGAAACCTCATTTCCCCCGTGGCAGGATCGCGGCAACATTATCGCAGAATGTTACAGAGTTCTTGCAGAAAGAATTTTCCTGTAGAAAGTAAAAAATTTTGGTTTTCTTTTCTGCTAAAATTTTCGAAATTTTTTCTTCTAAAATTATATTTAAAGGATGCCTTTTTCGCCCATCAGAAGGGAAAGAAATATTCATAATTTTTCTATTCTTATTTGAGAAGAATGGGAAAAAAAGAATATTATAACAATTTCTTTTCTGCAGATTTGAAAGATTTTTTGCCTCGACAATTATATTCAAGATGCGTTTTTTCACGCATCAGAGGGGAAGAAATGCTTATGATTTTTTTCATTCTTTTTTGGGAAAAATAAAAAAAATTCGGTTTTCTTTTCTTTCCCGGATTTTACGATTTTTTATTACTTTTTTTTAGTGATGATGTTTACAAAATGCGAAAAAAGAAATAATTTTACTCTTACAAAATGGGAAAATATCGCTCATGATATTAGAATAAAAAAATACATACAATTTTATTATATCCAAATAGACTTTTTTTGTAAATACAACATTTCTGTTACTTTAAATTTAATTAATGACATGTATATGTTATTAAAAGTATCTTGCAGAAAGATATTAGTGATAGTGAGTTTTGTTGCAGAAAGCTCTAAAAAATTCTGCCACTAGGTTTATTTTGAATATTTTAGTTTGATATCTAAATACTGTTATGAAAGCTTTACTAACTATTACTGTTAGATTATGTAAATTTAAATTTTGAAGTTAATTATTATACATCATTTCTAATTTTAAAAAATAAATACAATATTTAATTTGATAATTATTGAGTGTTCAGATTATACTAAATTCCAATCACACTAAGTGTCACTGTTCAAATATTGTACACGCAAGAAAAAAAAAGTTAAACAAATTCATTTGGCATATTAAAAACCTTATGGAGCTATGTTTTACAATGTAGAAAATATTTCTGCGAAAGCTTTGGGAGATAAATAAAAAATATTTCATAGGTAAATAGAAAATATGATGGAATAAAAAATTTAACCTTTTGATAGTCAGTACCATGGGCGTTTCCAAGCAATCAACTTTCGAGATAGGCAGCTGCCATAATCAACTAAATTTCTCACATAAAAATTCTTTCATGCGATACATTACAAAATGATTCATTTTAAAAAAATTCTTGCTTTTTTTTGGATAAGCGTTTCACAAATCTTTTTTTTTTTTTTTTCATTATCTTCAATATTAAAGAGGTCTTTTTTCAAATTCCTAATTCTCAGCATGTATTCAAATTAAAATTATGTTTGTTTTTGTGCCATTTTCCCAAGCAATAATATAATGTATTAAAATCATTACTTTAATATATGAGAGCACGGAGACTATTTTATTGGCAAAACATCTTCGTCCTCCATAAGCGTTGCGCAGCCCACCCAGCTGGCCCTTTTATCTCTATTAATGCACCCTCATTGCACTTTTTGTAAAAATAAGGCACCATATCCATAAAAACACTGCCTTTTTATTTTTTTTAGGAAAGATTGTTTTTTTAACTGTTTTATAAAAAGTCTACTTCTGATTTATTTAGTTTTTGATAATTATTTAACTTTAATTTCCTTCCTTCCTTTTAGTAAGATTTTCTTAATTTGTCTAGTTATATAGCTAAAATTCGTATGACATTCAGTTTTAGAGATATTCACATCTCTTTTGGGAGGGGGTGTATAGTAACGTGTTTTTTAATTATTTTACATTTTGCCATTATTTTTTAAATAAATACTTTTTATTTAAAAATGTACCTTTAAATGTTCATTTTCTCATAAATTTTAGTTTAAAATATATAAAAAAACTTTCAAGTTGTTAATCCCTTTCTTAGAAGAAAATTTACATAGAGATTGTATTATAGCTTGCCTTAATTATTTTTCAAAAGCTTAAAATTTTTCTGTTATTATGATATTGAGTGAGAATTACATTATGAAATATACACATAAAAAAGTATGAGGGTAATTTAAAATTTGAGGATCAAATTCAGCCATTACATAATGTTACACATTTTGATGAATTTTAATGGTAGTAAGTAGTGGCCTATTAAATCTCAAAGTGTCCTTTTCTACGAAGAAACACCCTGCTTTTTTTTATACCTAGGGAAAACCCTGGAAAATGAAATTTATTTATAAAAATCTCAATTCCATATCATTTTATAATAGTTCCTTAAAATCCATAAAACATTTAGCAATCAAAATCTTTTTATAAACCTAACTAGATCAAACAATGCTTTAACTATTTAACAAGGTAATGGCACTTGATTTTAAAACATTTTAACCATGTTAAACCCCCATAGATACATAATCTGATTTTGGTTTCTTATGATAAATTAGTACTTGATACAGCAAAATAAACAAAGAATTCGTGTATATGCACGCTATGCATTACTTATAATTGTATTAAATAAAATATTTCATATTAACTGATATAATAATTTATTGAAGATTGAAACATGGCTTATATCATTATGTTGCTCATATGTCATTTATAAATAGTTAGATAATTCGAAAAAAATCTAGAAAGAAGCAACTGCATTAACTTTAAATTAAGCAAAGCTTATTTTTTGAAGAAAGTTTAACTTCCTTGAGTTTTAATTTTCATTCCTTCTTTGTGTTTTTTCTGTTTTTTAGTTTCTGCTTCATCAATAGGTGCTGTTTTGACAAATGGAATCTCATCTTGCATACTAGGAGGCATAAATGGTCTCAAAGCTTTTGGAACAATAACACCAGTTTCTGTTTGATTATTCTCAAGAATTACGCAAATGACTCTAGTTGTAGCACACATAGTCGCATTAAGCATATGAACATAGTCTACCTGAGCATTCATCTTTTTAGTTTGACCATAGCGAACTTGCAATCGCCTGGATTGATAATCCAAACAATTAGAACAAGACACAAGCTCTCTAAAGGCACCTGAACCGGGAAACCAAGCTTCAACATCATGTTTCTTTGAAGCTGCATTATTTAATTCACCAGACACGATATTTACCACTCTATATGGTATTTCCAGCACTTGACAAAATTCTTCCGCATTCGCAAGCATTTCATCAAACATCTCCCACGACTTATTATCATGTGGAGAAGTTATGCAAAACTGTTCCACTTTCTCAAACTGGTGAACTCGAAAGATACCTCTGGTATCTCGTCCATGTGAGCCGACTTCTTGACGAAAACAAGTGGATATGCCAGCATAACGAATTGGTAAGTTTTCAATAGGAATCCACTCATCACGATGGAATGCAGCTATAGGCTGTTCTGAAGTTGCAATCAGATATTTTTCATCAACTGCATCTCCTTTTTCGCTGCTTTTGCAAATTACTTTGTACAGTTCGTCATCAAATTGGCTTAACTGAGCCACTTCTTGCATGATTTCTTTACGTACAAAAAAAGGCGTGTACAATGGCTTGTACTTTTTTTCATGCAGCATGCGGAGAGCTAGCTGTATAAGTGCATGCTCCAGAAAAACAGCAGCATTCATTAAATAATAGCCTCTACCACCTGCAGTAACAGATCCCCTATCGCTATCAACTCCATCAATCATTGTAATTAAATCAACATGGGAATATTTTTTCTTTGCGGTCACATCACCCCAAGTTCTTACAACAACATTTTGCTCTTCATCATTACTAACAGGCACAGATTCGTGCAACCAATTTGCAATCTCTTTCAAACAATCAGTGCGCAACAGCTCAAATTTAACGAGTTCCTGATTACATTTGATGATTTCTTCGTCCATCAAAGAACTAACTTTCTTGATTTGTGTTACTGTAAGAGCTTGAAGAGCATCAGAAGCAACAGCACTCAAATCTGATGTAATATTTTCAGGAAGGCTATCACTATCACCAACTGGCTCCTTCGCTTTCATTTTCTTGCCGATTTCCTTGCTGCAGACATTTTTTAATTTATTCCAATTGTCCAACTGATGTCGAAGCTTTCTCCATCTGTCATCAGCTTCGACAACTTTATCCACAAGAGTAGGATCTTTGAATCTTTTGACTTGATTTTCTCTCACTTTATCTGGATTTCCACCTTTGTCAGCACGAAAACTTTCAATGTCAAGCACCATATTTAGAGATAAGATTCCCAGTTCACAATAAATTGTAACTATGAAGAATCAATAAAGCAAGACAGTTTTGAGGAGGAATAATTTCAAAACGATTATTTGATCAGTTGTGTTACTGCAAGCGTGGTTTCGTCTTCGTGGTTACGGAACGAAACCGAAAGAAAAGTCACTTCAATTCATTAGAAAACTTCTCAATAATTTAAAAATACGGGATAGCCTATGGTTTTAAGATCATTTGCTGAAAAGCTTAACAGAGGGACCGTTCTCACTGTATGACTATTCATGATACCAACGCGTACGCCATCTGGGGAGAAAACTAGTTCCAGGCCTTCACCCTTTCCCTCTTTTCTACTATTGTATAGGAATGTACTATGATATTTTAACTTTTCTTAATATTCTTCGCATTTACAAGTCAAAAATATTTTTTTTAAATTTCCAGGGCGTTTTCTTTGAGAGCTATGTTCAATGTAGTTTTGAGTTCCATACAATTTCTTAACTTAAGAGTTTTTTTATCTACTTGAAAATCAAGGCAGGCGAAATGTTACCATAAACAGAGAGTTCTCTACGCCACATGTAGCCCATTTCAATCGCCCATAATTTATGGTTGGAAATTTAGAGGCGTAAATGAGGTCTCGTGCGACCTGCGGACATGATGTGAACACGCCTACCATGGCAGTAACCCACTTCGATCTGAACACGTTTACTTCGATGGATGGTCCACATTGGACAGTTGACATGCTACTTGTGACCGCGACATTATCCACCTCCTCTCACTTTTGCTACTCAGTCTCGTCTCGATCACACACAACGTCAGCTTGCATACACTCGAGTGCTAATGGCAATGCAGGAGCAACAACGACCGTGATCTTAATACAGCTCTCACGATTAGCAAAAGATCTTAATAGAGCCTTCCCGACTTCTCACAAAACAGCAATGAATCAACTAGTGGTATCCGTTCATCGAATTTGATCACAGATATAATTTTGGTCAGGGAGTACTGTAGCGTTTCTACCACTGCAAAAATATAATTCCAATTCACTAGCATGTAAGATATGTTAACTCGATTCTACGGTGGGGTACCTTTTCATAGATGAAAGTTGACATTGTCGGTAACAACTCACTCTCCACAAAACCTTTTTATTATTTTTTTATTTTCATCCTTCATCTTTGAAAATGAGAAAATTTATCTTCGTATTTTCTAAGACAAAGAGATATTTTCACTCTTATATCCATAATAGCAAAATATATTTGACAATTTATTTTTTGAAGAATTGTGTATTATTTTAGGAATAAAAATTTGTTCAGATTCAGATTAAAAAATTTCTAAAATCACATTTTTAAGAATTTTTTGTTAGAAATAGATCTTCTTCAGGGCCATTTCACTGCATGCGAGTCATGCACCCCCAATCACCGTCAAGAGAATATGATAACTTGATTGATTAAAAATATTCTCTCATGAAAAACTTACCAGTCAGATTCTCTTTTTCTATGAATTTTTGAAGGAATTCTGTTGTTAAATCTTTTCTTTTCTGTGAAGTGTGAATGTTTTCTTCTGGGTCATTCCAAAACTTGCGCAAAAAAACTCGCCAAACAGGTTCTCCATTTTCTCTGTAGTAATCGGAAATACGTGTACCGCATTGAATAAAAATACCCTTTTACACGAAGTTCTTAAACATTCGTATGCGTGTAATTGCGCATTGTAAATGCTTTCTGAAATTAATCTAAGATGAATATAATATTATTTATAATAATATATTATAAATAATATANAAAAGGAAAAATATTGAGAAAGGGGAAAATATCGTAGTACATTCCTATACAACTGAAAAGAGGAAGAGAGGGAAGGGAGACGGGCTAAAGGCATGAAACCGGTCTCTCCCCAGATGGAGTATTCGAGTGTTGCGATCGCGAATAGGAATGTACTATAATATTTTCCCTTTTCTTAATATTCTTCGCATTTACGTGTCAAAAATATTTTTTTAAATTTCCACGACGTTTTCTTTGGGAGCTATGTTCAATGTAGTTTTGAGTTCCATACAATTTCATAACTTAAGAATTTTTTTTATCTACTTGAAAATCAAGGTAGGCGAAATTTTACCATAAACCAAGAGTTCTCTACGCCATCTGCAGCCAATTTCGATGGCCTATAATTAATGGTAGGAAATTTAGAGGCGTAAATAAGGACTCGTGCGACCTCCGGACGTGATGTGAACACGCCTACCTTGGCAGTAACCCACTTCGATTTGAACTCGTCTACTTCGATTGATGGTCCACATTGAACAGTTGACATGCTACTTGTAACTGCGATATTATCCACCTCCTCTCACTGTTGCTACTCAGTCTCGTCTCGATCACACACAATGTCAGCCTGCATACACTCGACTGCTGATGGCAATGCAGGAGCAACCACGATCGTGATCTTAATACAGCTCTCACGATCAGCAAAAGATCTTAATACAGCTTTCCCGACTTCTCACAAAACAGCAATGAATCAACTAGTGGTATCCGTTCGTCGAATTTGATCACAGATATAATTTTGGTCAGGGAGTACTGTAGCGTTTCTACCTCTACAAAAATATAATTCCAATTCATTAGTATATAAGATATGTTAACTCGATTCTATGATGGGGTACCTTTTCATAGATGAAGGTTGACATTGTTGATAACAACTCACTCCCCACAAAACCTTTTTATTATTTTTTTTATTTTCATCTTTCATCTTTGAAAATGAGAAAATTTCTCTTTTCATTTTCTAAGACAAAAAGATATTTTCACTCTTATATCCATAATACCAAAATATATTTGACAATTTATTTTTTGAAGAATTATATATTATTTTAGGAATAAAATTTGTTCAGATTGATTAAAAAATTTCTAAAATCATATTTTTAAGAATTTTTTGTTAGAAATAGATCTTTTTCAGAGCCATTTTACTTTAAAAATATTCTCTCATGAGAAACTTACCAATCAGATTCTCTTCTTCTATGAATTTTTGTGGGAATTCTGTTGTTAAATTTTTTCTTTCTTTTCTTTTCTGTGAAGTGTGAATGTTTTCTTCTAGGTCATTCCAAAACTTGCGGAAAAAAACTCGCTAAACAGGTTTTCCATTTTCTCTGCAGTAATCGGAAATACGTGTACCGCATTGAATAAAAGTACCCTTTTACACGCAGTTCTTAAACATTCGCATGCGTGTAATTGCACAGTGTAAGTGTTTTCTGAAATGAATCTAAGATGAATATAATACTATTTAGAATAATATATTATAAATAATATATTATAAATAATGTAATATAATATTAATGTATTTAATAGATTATAGGACGCCTTATTGGCGATCGAAATGGGCTATAGGTGGGGCAGAGCAGAACTTTCTACCTATCTCAACGCTTCACATATTTCACTATTAGCGTGTGGATAGTCATAGAAGAAAGGAGAACACTAATTTCTGTCTTGATTTTTAAACTAATTAAAAACTTTTAAGTTCGAAAACAATATGGAACTGAAAACTGCATTAAATATAGTTCGAAAAGAAAGCATAGGAGAAAATTTCGAAAATATTTTTAACAATAAATACGAAAATATTATTTAAGGGGAAAATATCATAGTATATTCATAAACAACTCAGGAAAGGAAGGGGGATCAAGACATGGAACCAGTCTTCTTCATGGTGTATTCGAGTGTTTCAATCGCGAATAAAGTTTTTTTTGTGGTCAAGCAGTGACCAGCCCTATGTGTGACATTAAAGCCTGATCAACGGATACATTGTTTTATCTGGTACTGTGGTACTGAGAACACTATAGCTGAAGAAATGCACCTTTAAAATGCCTCTTTGTATCTCTCACGGTTTTTCAATTACTAATGTACATTAATGTACAGTGCGCAAAATAATAAACGGATCACAAGGAATAACTTTTGGTTTAATGATCGGATTTTCACGTTCCAGGACTCAATTTTAATGGTTCTATGGAGTGATTTTTTATCTGATAATTAATTTGTGCAAACGATATTTTAAGTTACGAAATTAAACACAAAAACGCACTTTCTTTTTATAAACAAATCTTTTTTTTCGACGGATTTGGATTTTTAGCCTCCAAAATATAGGGGTAGCCGCAATCTGGGAATATTTGTTCCATAGTTTGACCAGGAGAGTTGTCTAAATAATGGACCCCTTAATGTTAATTTCACTCTTTGAGTATTTCACCATATCTCGAAAAGTTTTTAAGCGAACTGAGAAATCTTTCCACACAAATATAAAATTTGTTTATCTAAAGATATTTCCATGCAAAATTATTTTTCAGTAAATATTTGTTATTTTTTTTTATTTAATAATAGTTGAAAATATTCTGAACTTTCGGTTTATAAATGCAGCAATATGCATTAATTGATTTAAAAAAGAAAGTTGATAAAAGGTTCTAGTAAGGTCTTATTGCGTAAAGTTTAACAGCTTTGTAACAGGTGTGAAAATTTGCAATTTCTTACTTTTTTTTTCTTTCTTTTTTTCATCACTTGTCTTATATTTTTTTGTGTGCATTATAACTGTAGTTATAGAAGGTATGTCTACCAGGATTTTTTTTTCAATTAAAAGTGTTTAATCAGTGACGGGTTTCCAATCATTCAATGATAGGTATGCTGATAAAAAAATAAAAAATGCGACATTCTTNAAAAAAAAAAAAATGCGACATTAATATTTTAATATTTTTTTTAGTGAGGTTTTTTGTGTTCATGTAATTTTAAAATACGTTTCTAAATATTCATTTCCGAAATCGATATTTGCGTTCTGATTGAAACTCATTTCATGGCCATAATAAATTTTTAACGGAGTTTTTAATAATATTACTTTTAATATAATTTATGATTCATTTAATTCTTTACAAATAATGATCTATTTTTCAAATTGATTCCCGTACACTCATTTTTTAAATTGGATAAAATTTTGTTAGAAAAATTCGTAGTCAAATAAGGAAAAAACTAATTAAAAATATCAATTTTTGCGTTGAAACTACTATTTTTTGGAAACAAAACCAAAACTAAAATTTTGAATCGCCTAAAATTTTACGAAATTTCTATAATTGCTTTTTTTTTATTTATTTTCTAATGGATTTTTCTATAATAACTTGTTTTGTGTAAGTTAATATGAGTAATTACATCATTGATTAAGTTTATAAGTCATTAATCCAAACATAACGATATCTATTCAGTTGAAGTGAAGTGAAATAATGTTCACGCGTATAAGCTCTACAGTTGTCTGCTGTTCAGCCATATTTACAAGACTTTATATATTACCGTAAACAAAAAAATAATGCCTTAAAAATGCTATGAAACAAAAAATGCATGGAATCTGTGTATTTTTAAACGAAAGCACAATTTTATACAGTTGCATTAAAAATGAATCTCTTCCAATTGTTAAGTGGCTTCTGTTGTTTATTTATAGAAATGTTTGATTTTACGTTCTCTAAGATTGAACCTCTTATTAAAGAATAAATAAGACAAGTAAATGACGTTTGTTGATAGGGAATGGATTAAAACATCAGTGAGTGTTTAAATTTCAAAGGATTACTATTCTATAAGAATTATTATTGTTTTGTTGTCATCTGTACGTTAAATGTCATTCAAGATTTTAAGTTGCGTATCGCCTTAGGGTTAAATATTATTGATTATCTTATAAGTCATCTTGTTATACGCGCAACTGTGACCTAATTTAATTGCATATTTTATTACATTTAATGTGTTTATATGGATAATTTAACTCCAAACTACTGTTTAAAATTGTTTTATATAGATTTTCATCGCAATAATGTAACAGACGTAAGTAAATAAAATATACATAAACCATCGTAAGTTGACCTCAATTAAGATGTAGTTATGTATTGATATTTTCTGATGTATCACATGGAGCCAAATTTTTCAAATTTAACTTATTATTAAATCTATTTTAAATGCTTCGATGAGTTATTATGGTTAATTTTTTGCTGTTGCTTATAAATTTGATACTATTGATAATTTTTTATTGTTAGTGTGTTTTGATGTATTCCTCAGTATTTTTAATGACTTATTGATATACTTTAAGTTAAGTCTTATCATTGTTTATAAGAGTATTAAAGTTGAAATACAGTATTTTTTCTGTTAGTAAGTAAATTATATTTAGCAATAAATAAGTAAATATTTGCACAGGAAACTTAATTTGAAGTTGTTTTTATATTTTGAATTTTATTGTATTTGAAATTTTCCAAATATTTATTATTAAAACATAGTAACTGATTATTAAGGTGAAATATAAAAAGTATATTTATGAAATAATGCAAATAAAAAAAAGAATAAAAACCATTTATCATTTGGTAGAGAAAAATTATCAGAGTTTAACCTAGAGCTATAAAATATGAAATTTTATTAAAATTAAACTAAAGATTTTACTGATTAAAATCTTTAAGATCTAATTTGAAAATTCTTAAATGAAATTTAATATATTTAAATAAACTTTTAGGGAAAAAAATGCAATGAATTGGTTTATTATTCATTTTATTGATTCAAAATAATAAATTATCGGGAATGTACTGCAGTCTTTGGTTAACAGGTCATCAAAACTAAAAAAATTTCTGTTTGGATATAAGTAAAATAAACCTCTTCGTAAAAATATAGGGTGTATTTAGATCACTATTTAAAAGTGAAAATAAGATGTACGAGGTGTGAAAATTAAATAACCAGACTAGTCTTGATAATTAGCTTCATTAAAAAAATTTTACAACTATCTTTTAGTCTCCTTTAACGTAATCTTTTTCCTATCACTGCATAAGACTTTTTCACTGTTCAAAGCAATGCTGCAGGACATTAAGGTGTTACCTTGTTCAGGAAATCTACCGGTTTTGCGTTCCCCTCTTCCACAGACTAAAAATGTGTTTCTTTGAATGCACTTTACACTTTTAGAAACAGGTCGAAGTTGCACGATGCGAGATCTGGTGAGTACGGGGGATGCTCGAGCATAATAAAGTGTTTTTTCGTCAGGAAATGTTTCACAGAGAGAGTGCAGTGTGTGGCGGAGTATTGCTTTGTGCAAAATGCACATGTTGTTGCTCCATAGACCTGGCCTTTTCTTCCTAACTACTTCCTCAATTTTTTTAGGACCTCTACGTAGTACTGCTGGTTTACTGTTTGGCCTTAAGGTAACCATTCTATCATGATAATACCATTAACATCGGGAAAATAAAGAGGAACATAACTTTCAGTTTGGACTTGCTCATGCAAACTTTTTTGGCCCTTGGTGATATGGGGGTCTCCCAGTGCATGGACGCCATTTAGTTTCAGTGTCGTACTGAAAAGTCCACGTAATTGTCATGTGATGATTTTTTTTCTCAATCAGTTCAGGTTCTTCTTTGAAGCAAATGTTTGATGATGACCTTGATTTAAAAGCAAATGTTTATCCTATTCATTTTTTGCTTGCATGTCTGGTTTTTCAGTATACCATGTTTGATACTTAGCTTAAATTTGTTTCTAAAATTGAATTCCAAGTTCATAAATAAATAAATCTTTGATCTTATTCAGTCAATATGTGCATGTTTTTCACCCCTCGAACTTATTCCTTACTCTACCTGTATATCTTTGACTCTAAAGCATTGTTAAATTTCATAATTTTTTTACTGACCACTGTTTTGAATGATTTTTTTTTCATAGCTATTGTATTATATTATAATTGATTTTCCTTTTGGCTCATATTAATTAAATCACTGTCTACCTCAGATTCATTTTTTAGTACATGGGCAGAACTGCAAAAAATGGTTTGTTTACTTAGTTAAATGTTTTACAGTATTTCATTTGTTTTAGTTATTTTTCTTTATGATTTAAACTCAGAATAGGCTTTTATTGTAAAAATACATTGAACATTGTAATGTAAATTTTAAATTAGGTTTTTATGATATTTATCTTTTAATATTTGCTTTGCTTAAACGTTGGTTGTTATGGTTATTGGAAGGTTCAAATTTAAAGAATCTACTTCTGTAAGCTATTTTTACCACCATATAAAATTTCACATTTCCTGATTTGCCATTTTTAATTGAAAAACTGTGTTAAAATTTGTCTTAAAAAAAATGTGCTTATTTAAAAAAAGGAGAAATATTGAACTTAATTTTGATTACTCATCATCTCGAAATTAATTTCAACATTTTAAGAGCTTAACTACATCTTTCTTTTATTTTTTAATTCATTATTAAATTTTGTCATTATTGTAATCATTACACAGTTAAATTAATAAATGTTTTAGCATTAAAATCATAGCAGAAATGTGTAAATAGAATAAAAGAATCTTTAAAATTCATCCTATAATATATTTTATGCTATCATCATTATGATGTCCACATTGGTCAAATGTTAAAATTAAGTTTTGTAAGCATCAATAATTAATATCCTGAGCAGAATTGCGAGAGAGAAAAAAATCATGTCTCTAGATTTTCTTTCACTTTTAATTTAAAAGGTAAACATGAAGCATTTTCATTATCTTCATCTGTATATAATAATGCCATCAATAAATCCATGTGAAAAATTATTCCTTATAATACTCTGTAATTCTCAATCTAGTGAATTTTATTTTAAATTAGATATTTTTTTAATTGTTTTATTTCTAAATTTCCTTATTAAGTGATATTTATAAATTTATATTTAAAGCAATTTTATTCATGATGTTTATAAATTTTATTAAACTCACAAAATTATTCATTATAAAATTTCATAAGTAATGAAATTAATTGCATGTTTAGCAAATTGTTTTTTAATTCAACTTTAGTTTTCTTTTAAAACTCCTCCATGTATTTTTAAATCTTTTTGCAGTTGAATTTGAAAATAATACTCTGCATACCACTGTTTTTGAGGTTGTGCACGTTCATTTAGTATGCAAAATAAGGATGCGACTAAAATTAGATTCGTTGTCTTTTTGGCACGTAGACCAATACGAAGTATTTGCGTAGAATCTCTCTAGTCTGACCGCATAAGTCATACGTGTGTATTTAAAACCAAGAGATCAGCAGTGTTGCTGTTATTGGCATTTTTCCATGAATGGGTGCTGAAGCCTAGGGAGAGATTCCTCTAAATAATCTTTTGGAGTAGAGAAAAAAAGAAGCCTCTTTTTTATGTTTACCTGAAAAAAAGTAGCTATTTAGTTGTTTTTTTTCGTGAGGTAAGTTTTTTCTTTTTGTAACATTTCATGATAGGTAAAGAGCTTTTTAGTCTTGACAGCTAGAAAAAAAAACCTCTTTCTAATGAGTTTTGTAGCTATTTTCATCTTAAGCAGTCTCATTCTTTAAAAGTTGTAATTAATTTTTGTTACCATTAGATTAAAAAAAATTATTCACCATTTTTTTTAAGGAAATTTGCAAACGAAATAATTACACCTCTTTTACTTAAAATTTGTATTATATATATATATATATATATATATATATATATNTATTCGTGTTTTTCTGTTTTTATTTATTATGATATATATATATATATATATATATATATATGTATATATGTATATATATATATATATATATATAATATGTGTGTGTGCATTAATACCACATGAATGCTGTTAGTTATTTTTAAAAATTCCATATACTAAAAAAAAATAATTGAATAATTTTTATATAGTCAGTAACTTTTGCATGATGGAAAAAATTTTCAGAATGGAAAACTTTCATAATTTTCTTTTCTTCTGTTTTAGTTTATTTGTGCAAATTCATAAGGTAATCATATTTAATTGCAAACTCTAAACCCAATGTATAAATAGAACTTTTCCTAACAAAATTGTTACATTCTGATGCTTAGAAAGGCTGTAAATTAGATCAGTAACTTCTTGTTACAGAGCATACTGAAACAAACATGTCTCTTTATTTCTTTTATAATTGTATTAATATTTTATGCAGTTCAGAAGCCAAGTTAAAACGCTTGTTTGTTGTCTTTCTAAGTTAAATGTTCCACTTTAGGCCTATGAGCCTTAAATTATGCATCCTTGTGCTAGCTTATCTGTACACTTTATGGAGTGTACAGATAACAAAATTATTTCATAAAAATATGTAATTTTATATATATTATATTATTTTCTATTTTATAATAAAAATGAAATAAGATAATTTGAATAAGCTAAGTTTGTTACTTTTTTTATAGCATGGAAAATTAGAGATGGCTTTGTTGAGGAAAAGATACACAATACTGAAGTATACAGTGTGTAGAAAGCCTATTCAAAGGGTAGCTAAACGGACAAAAAGGTAAATTAACTTAAATTTTAAATTTGTGTTAACCTCTGTGATGTATAGATACCATTTATTTTATGTTTTTTTTGCATCATACAGTAAACAACACACTAGTTTATATATTAATTCAGTTTCTTAAACTATATGATAAGGACATTTTAGTTTAATTAAAAAATAAATCTATCATATTCAGGAAATGGTATTTGTTAGAAATAGGGTGAATTTTTATATGTCGAAAACTATTAAAAACCTTTAAGCTATAGGTTAAGGATTAGAATATCATCGGAAAAAAAGTGTGATGTACAGTTTTAAAGCATTAAATACAAATTATAAAATTGAAGAAATATAATTAAGGAAAATAATTTTGGGTTTTTAGTGTGAAATAAAGCTCAATTATTCCCTATACAAAAAATAAACTTTAATCAGTCAAATATCTTCTATTTTGTTGGACAACAATTTGCCATCTATCTGTTATCATCATGCTCTCATTGAACATCTGATCCTTATTAGCAAAAAAAATCAACCAAGTGTTAGTTGAGATCATCGCTATTACTGAAATTTTTGCCATTTAAAGTAAATGATATCCAATGTTGCAAGGCTCTGGCTATATGGAGATGTAATATCACTTCCCTACCGAACTCTAATAATTTTGTACATATTGCTAAACATGTATGTGGTCTCGCATTGTTGTTACTGAAAAATTTCAGTAATAAAAAGACCTCAAATTGCACTTGGTTAAGTATTTTGCTAATAAGGACCTAAAGTTCTAAGAGTACGGGATTATGAAGTTATCAGAAAGATGGCATAGGTCAACAAACTGAATGGAAGATATTTGGCTAATTAAAGTTTGATTTGTTAGAATTTTTATGTACTTTATTAATAATTATTAATATTGAGTAATGTTAAGTAATAAAATTATGTCAGATATTTAAGCAAATTTTAATGTTTTTTAAATTTTTTATAATCAAACCCAGAGGACAGGCCTCACAGAAAAGGGTACTTTGAGTTTTCATAATTCATAAACAAACATCAAAATATTCTATATTACGTAATAACTGAATCTGATTCTCAATAACTTTTAAATTGTCCTCTTAATATTATTTTATGTAGTATTTTAGAAAAGTAGTTCTCAATCATTATCAGTAAGAGAAAATTTAGTTTATAAAAAATAGTTAAAGGCTAAAAGATATCATTAAAAAAAAAAAAAAAAAGGATGCTAAAAGACAAACACTGTGTACAATTTTTTTTAAAAAAAAGTAAACTTAAATAATATTAGTTTCTAAACAACTTGAAAGCTTTCTCTGCAATTTAAACTGAAAATTATGTAAAAATGAACACTTAAAGTTGCATGCAAGGTGTATATTTGAAAAATAATTTCACTTAAAAAATTCCTTAATGTCCTCCATCTAAAAAAAAAAGAAAAAAAAGAAAAGAAACTCATAAAAATTTAACCAGTTGAGAATAAACCTAAAAAAAGAAATATTTGTAATAATAATTAGAATTAAACCTATAAACACAGATAATTTTACCAGTGAGTAATTATTATTTAAACAGTGAATTTACTTTTTGTTTTCCAAATGGAATGTGATTAAAAAGGAATTTAAGAGATGGTGGCTTATTTTTACAAAAAGGGCAAAGAAAGCGTATCAAAAGGCAGGAAGGGCTGGTCGCCTTTTAAAAAACGCTTAGGGAGAAAGAATGTAAAATTATTCCTGTATTCAATATAATTCCTAAAGAAAAGAAAAAAGGTAATGAAATGTTACTTATTTCTTAAATGTGAAAAAAAGTTTTAAAAATTGTTGATATTTATAATTAACAATGAATATTCAGCAGGAAATGTAATTTCAAGAGATTTATATGATTTCAGATTTCAAAATAAGATCAGATGTTTATTCAATTTATATGTGTGGATTTTCACATCACTGTTTTATGCTAGTTTAACACTAAACATATCATAACCAGTCTAAAGACCAGTTCTTGTATATTGCATTGTAAAGAACAATTGTTCTCCAAAATTTCTAATCACCCATGTTTGAATTTAAGAGTTCTCGGTATTATAAAATCATTTTCTATGCTCAAGCAGTAATGATAATCTTTCATATGTAATTTTTATATATGTAAAATTTTAGTTGTTTGTGTAAATGAATAACCTTCTATTTTATTCATAATTGTTCTATTGCATAAGAGAGAGTAAAATTCTTTAAATCAATGTATAAAATTTTTAGTTCTGCATCCTTAACAGTTACCGTTATTATTTTTTAAAGATTACAATTGCAGTTATTATATCTGTGTGAGTCAGTGATGTAAAATATTTATGATCTTCTTTTAATATTTTTTAGATTAATCTATTAGTTTGCAATTGCAAACATTCTGCTCACATGGGTTGTTCCGATCTCCCTTGTGCAAAATTAAATAAATGTAAGTATTGTGTTCTTGCAATCTAAGATTAATGTTGTATGCATAGTGTTACCCTGCAATGTTGTCTGTGTTTATTTCATGACAGTAATATCTGTTTCGCTAGCTTTTTTTTAGTTTTAATTTATTAATGTGTTGATTTTTCTCCAGTTGTCGCATAATGCCAAATCCCCTTTTTTTGGTAGTTTTATCAGGCCTTTATCTCAGTTCTTTAGCCACTCTTCATTTTTTTTTTTTNTTGTTGATGTTATTAAACAGGTCAGTTAAAGTTTTTACAGCAGTTTTTGAACTTTCTTTGAAGTTTTCACCAGGTAGGTTGTCACTTATAGCAGCATTTAAGCAATTTAGTAGTTTACTGCTCCTCAAGCTGTGTTATTGGACCTGTGTCTTTGTCTAGTAGTCTGGGTACTTTTCTTGGAATATCTTCCAAAATAGCAGGATTTGGTCCGATTAAGATTTCCTTAGAATGATTAACCAACCTTTTGGTTTGGCCTTCTTTTGATATAAGTTTTAAACCTTGTTTCTTCCTAATTGACCCCAGTTTCTCATCTCTTTCCACTAATTTTGTAAAGGCTGTTATGAGTCATTGATAATGATTCTTCTGCCAATATGACCAGATCTTCATATCTCCTTTTATTATATGTTCTTTTTATCTGTGTTAAAATGTTTTTTAACCATAAAGTATTATAAATAAAATATAACAAATTCTTGTTATATTTTCTTATTTTAATGCACATACTTTTAAAGCATTTCTTATTTATTTGCCAACTTTACTATGAGGGAGTTGTTTTAATGTAAATTTCTATAAGTACAATTTGAATCATCAATGCGCCACATCTCAATGCATTTGCAATAGAGATTAGATTGTGAAAAGAAAATTTTTTATTACCGAAATTGTTATTTTACTCTAATTTTTCTCTCTTACTCTTGTTTTATTTTTATTTAGTTCTGCATTCTGGCATGCTTGTTTTCAATGGTTTACTTAAATAATCATTTGGAATTGTTTTTAAATACTACTATATTTTTTACCACTTAAAAAAAAAGTTACATTTTTTAATATTTTGAATAATTTCATTGTTGCACCATGTTTTTATTTATTTCATTTATGAGATATTATAGTGTTTTTAAAGCTTATTCAATTTTGATTGTTACCATTCATTTTCTAAAATCTGGTTATTTTAATAGATTCTTGGGCGAGTTGCTCTTGCGATACCAAATCATCAAATATGAGATTTAAAAGCAACAGGATTTCTGGGAATAATGAAGGAAATGCAAAACAGGAAAAAGTAGAAAATAATAATTCTACATCAGAAAGTTCAACTGCTTTTTCTGCTACTAAGTCGTAAGTTTTTATAAGTAGCTAAAAATTTATCCTTTTAAAAAAGAAACTTTTATATGTTCATAATGTTTTTATTCTCGTGACAGAATCGTCCCGACGAGACAACATTGTCTTAGAACGTTACATTACTAACATTACATTGTCACAGAACATTACAGTTCTTGCAAAAAGATTTTTCTTTCGTAAAGTAAAAAATTTTAGTTTTCTTTTCTACAGAAACTTACACGTAAAATTTGAATCATGCATATAGATAGTCACTTTTTGTGCTCAATGTACGCCGATAGTATCGTAAATGGATGTAATGTTTCGATTGTATATTCAGTGATTTTGACGTGGTTTTTTAAGCATCACGATATGGAATAATATGTAAAATTGAACAGTGCATTTGAGTGTTTACTTTTTAAGGCAATGATTCTATCGATTTTTTGGCACTTATAGCTATTGATTTTTCCATAGTTTTTAAATCCGATGTTTTTAGACCATATTATTTATTATTACATCCTAATCTCGAAACACACATTTGGGTAACCTCTTTTTAAGGAATCCGACTCGCATGATTTTGTTATCGATCTTTTTTTCGGCAATTACTACTAAAAATTTTACGATTTTTAATTATTTTTTTATTGTGATAATTATCTACAAAATGCGAAAAATCAAATAATTATTGCTTTTTTCCCTTCAACANCATCTCTTTCCATTAATTTTGTAAAGGCTGTTATGAGTCATTGATAATGATTCTTCTGCCAATATGACCAGATCTTCATATCTCCTTTTATTATATGTTCTTTTTATCTGTGTTAAAATGTTTTTTAACCATAAAGTATTATAAATAAAATATAACAAATTCTTGTTATATTTTCTTATTTTAATGCACATACTTTTAAAGCATTTCTTATTTATTTGCCAACTTTACTATGAGGGAGTTGTTTTAATGTAAATTTCTATAAGTACAATTTGAATCATCAATGCGCCACATCTCAATGCATTTGCAATAGAGATTAGATTGTGAAAAGAAAATTTTTTATTACCGAAATTGTTATTTTACTCTAATTTTTTTATGCTTGTTTTATTTTTATTTAGTTCTGCATTCTTCCATGCTTGTTTTCAATGGTTTACTTAAATAATCATTCAGAATTGTTTTTAAATACTACTATATTTTTTACCACTTAAAAAAAAAATTACATTTTTTAATATTTTAAATAATTTTATTGTTGCACCATGTTTTTATTTATTTCATTTATGAGAATTTATAGTGTTTTTAAAGCTGTTTCAATTTTGATTGTTACCATTCATTTTCTAAAATCTGGTTATTTTAATAGATTCTTGGGCGAGTTGCTCTTGCGATACCAAATCATCAAATATGAGATTTAAAAGCAACAGGATTTCTGGGAATAATGAAGGAAATGCAAAACAGGAAAAAGTGGAAAATAATAATTCTACATCAGAAAGTTCAACTGCTTTTTCTGCTACTAAGTCGTAAGTTTTTATAAGTAACTAAAAATTTATCCTTTTAAAAAAGAAACTTTTATATGTTCATAATGTTTTTATTCCCGTGACATGAATCGCCCCGACGCGACAACATTGTCTCAGAACGTTACATTACTAACATTACATTGTCACAGAACATTACAGTTCTTGCAAAAAGATTTTTCTTTTGTAAAGTAAAAAATTTTTAGTTTTCTTTTCTGCAGAAACTTACACTTAAAATTTGAATGCTCAATGTACACCGATAGTATCGTAAATGGATGTAATGTTTCGATTGTATTTTCAGTGATTTTGAAGTGATTTTTTAAATATCACGGTATGGAATAATATGTAAAATTGAATAGTGCATTTAAGTGTTTCCTTTTTAAGGCAATGATTCTATCGATTTTTTGGCATTTATAGCTATTGATTTCTCCATAGTTTTTAAATCCGATGTTTTTAGACCATATTATTTATTATTACATCCTAATCTCGAAACACGCATTTGGGTAACCTCTTTTTGAGGAGTCCGATTCGCATGATTTTGTTATCGATCTTTTTTTCCGGCAATTACTACTTCAGATTTTACGATTTATTATTATTTTTTTATTGTGATAATTATCTACAAAATGCGAAAAATCAAATAATTATTGTTCTTTTCCCTTCAACAAAATGCAGGAATACAACCCATAATATTTGAATAAAAAATAATATTACATGTTCAATTAAAAGAAATATTTAGTTTTTTTGTTTTTTTTGTTTGTAAGCACAGCGCTTTTGTTATTTTTAAATTAGTAACATATATGTTTGTTATTATTAAATGCATCTTGCAGAAAGATATTAGTACTAGAGAGTTTTGTCGCATATAGCTTGGAAAAATTCTGCCACAGCTGTTTTTATTTTGTTTCTTCATATAATTCTAATATCTCTATTAATAAGAAAAGTTTGATAATGGCAATATGTAAATTGTACTATGTTAGAAATTATTCTTGTCACTCAAAAGTTTTGTTTTTGTATGCTTCTAAATAGAAAATTTAGTGAATAAGTTTTGATTTTCACTGATAATTTTAACATGTACATAGTTTCAAATGCTTGAAGATTTTGTTTTAGCAATTATTCGTGTCTAAGTGTATCTCTGTCATTATTATTTTAAAAACGGATTCTTGATTTTTTTAAAATATGCTTTGAGAGCTTTAGTTTATAGTTAGTTAAATGCCATAAATTATTTATAATTGAAATATTATTAAAAATAACTGATGTCCGAGCATTAAAAATTGTTTTATAATTATATATAATGTAGGCAAATGCACGATGAAAATGAAATAGAAATGTCTATTTTTAAAGTGCCAAAAAAAAAAAAAAAAACGAGATTAAATGAACAAATAACAAAATTAATTTCACCGGCTTTTTTTTAATTATTGATATAATAAAATTAAGTATGTTGCTTTATGATTTGCCTTAATAGCAGTTTGTCAAATCTTTCTGTATAGAATAACTAACTCATTAATTAAAAAAAGTGCACTAAGTAAAAGGTAATCAGAATTTTTCTTTTTGAACTTCTTTTATATGCTATATTATGACAATTTCCTGTCATAGTTAAGTAAAAATTTTAACTGCATTTTTTTTTAGATTTTTATTGATATTTTTAAATATTTTAACTTGCTATTGTAAGTTTCCCCTAACGTTTGTATTTCCTTTGATAAGAGTTGCTGCAATTTGTTGCAACTAGAAGTACAAAAACTCAAATATTCTTTCATTAGGATTATTTCGATCCTACCACTTCTTTTTTTTAATTGCATATTAATTTTTCTCTATTCTTCAACAGGATGAGTAGCATTTTTGAAAAATGCTTAAAGGTGCTTATTTTAAATTTTTGTTTTTTAAAAACCCGTAAAGGTGCTTCCATCAAAAGTAACATTGTAAATTTTATAATCTTGTTTATTTTGCTTAAACTTTTTTTATTTTGTAGTTTAAATTTTTTTAAATTAATTTTTATATCACATATCAATTATAATATCCAAGTTTATTATGCATTAAAAAGCAAAATAATAATGTAAACTAAGGTTAAATCGAACCTTTGGTGAACTAGTTGAATGTTTCCTTCAGTATCCTCATATTCGAGTTATCGGGAATCAACTGTATTATTTTTATAGCATATGTTTTATATAACACATTTTTTCCAGGTTTAATAAATAACAGTATTTACCAATTATTCAGTTAATAATTAAAATAAGTTTTTTTTTTTAAATAATTTTTATTTTTAATATGTTCTATCATTTTTATTTGATTTTTTTCCCTTATGCTCTGCTTAGCAAGAAAGAGTTAGTGTGCTCCAGTATTTATCAATTTATTTACATACAACAAATATTTTTGTTCATTACGTGTATACAAATGTAGTCTGGAAGAAAGTGATATTTTACTAAAGATAAGAACACCAGCATTAGAAAATGTGTCAAGGCTTTTTCTTAAAAATATTTTCTCATTCAAAACCCTTTTAACCAATGCATAAATAATAATAATAATATGCATACATAATTAATATGCATAAAAAAAAAGAAAGAAAAAAAAAAGAATGCGTATAGCTTATCATAAGAAGCATGTTTTTAAATTCCAAATATCTTGCTTTTTTAGAATATCTCATTGTACCATACTAAGCATACTGAGACATCCGCATTAAAAAATACTGGAACTCTAGGTCGATTACATTTTTTAATATTCACTGTTTTCTCAAGTTAGAGTAATTCAGCTTTATTTACATTTAACTGGTTTATGAACTCTTATACCTATTATAATTGTTAAATTATCCCTTGTAACACATGTGATCAGGAAGATTTGTAAGATTTTTTCTTAAAAAATCCCTAACATAAATAGGGAAGCCCATTGATTTTGTGTGCAACTTGATGCACTCTTAAAAATCTCTCATGTTTGAATAAATACATCATTTTTCCTCGCATCTGCTCGTGTTTAATCCATCTCTCGACCATATTGCATTATTACATATGTATAAAATCAATGACCATTCATTCATCTTTATTAATATATTTATCAAATTTTTCTTGCTTTCATTATTATATAGTATTTTTAATTCTGAAGAAAAAAAAAACTGTAAAATTATTTTCAATGTTACAATTATTTCAAAATATGTATACTTTCTTTCTTAAATCTTTAGGTGGCCTTCATTTCAAATACCCTTGAAAAAGCAGTGGCATAGGCGGCAAGCTTTTATGGAAGATTTCTCTTCAAATTCAGAGAAATCAAATCCATTTCTGGCTGCCTTAGAAAACTCAAAAACCGAATCACTCTCAAGTTGTTTGAAAGATCTTGACAAATCCAGTGACACTTTCATCAAATCAAATGAATTTGTGGTACCATCATTTTCTTCGACCAGTTTGGGATTGTTTCGACCTAAGCCGAAAGGTCTCGTGGACGGTCTCTCTCGGTTTTTCACTCCCACAAATAAGCGGAAATCGCGTGTAGCTATTTCTTCCTTAGGTGATTCTCTAACTTTAGATGATGAAATACAAGTTAACCATGCAGGTGGAAATAGCTCCTCAAATGTGAAACCCTGTGAGCAAACAGTCAATAAAGATCCTGGTTATGCTGGATTTTTGATAAATAATGATAAATCCTTTTGTACCGATTCCTCTTCAAAACCAACTCTAAACAATGGTGTCCCGTCCAGCATGCAGACATTATCCGCGCCTTCATCCAGTCAATCTGAGTCATCTCCCTCATTAGTCAAACCAAGTGGTAGTGGCCAGTTGAAGAATTTGTTTGATGGCTTGTCTCATTTATATACAGCATCAACAGATTCAAGGAAGAGAGGGCTAAAAAACTCTGTACATAGATCTCCAAAACAACTCTGCAAGAAACTTCGTACCTGTGAAGATAACTATCTATCTTGTGATAGCAATAGTACCGGTGATACTTTGTTTAAAAAACAAAAAGATTCTGAAAAGGATGATGACGATAAAAATTCAGAAGCAGATTCTGATGATGACTCATCGTCCGTTTCAAGTGACAGCTCTTTAAACTCTAAAAGACAAGAGCCATGTAAAACAGAAGGCCCTTTTCTGTCATTTGCTCATGATGATAGTTTTTCTCATAACTCATTAGTGCCTGAAAACAGGATAAGTGATCAATCTTCATCTGCAGAAAATAGGACCGATCCAGGTTGTGGAATTTCTGATTCAACCTCAACATCCCTAGGTTTGTATATATTTTATGTAGACAAAAACATGCTTTTATATGTTATGTAATTATGTTTTGAAGTTCTTATGCATGTGTTTTAAGATTTTGACAATAAGCAGATTTATAAATCAAAATGAAAAATTGTTCAATTAAAGAATCCTGGAAAGTTTTATTTGGCAAAATTTTAGATATGTTCCAAAAATTTAGTTTCAGATTTTATTAGGATAAAATTTAAACTTAATGATTTTGATTGGTTACCATTGCATCCACAAACCCTTCTTATTTTTTTGTAAACTCATTAAATGTTGTCTACTTAAAGGATTATTTAGCAGAAATCCAAAAATTTAATTCTTAGTATTTCTTTTCAATGTAAATAATTATAATTTTAAAATAGTTATCAATACTACTTCATATGAGAGGCTGTAAAAGTTTTGAATTCTTGATCCTCATCTTGGAATGTTTAATGAAGTGGCATAAAATTTCTTATTTCCGATGACATTAATGAAGAAATGTCTGTTTTTTATGCATTCGTTCCTACATAAACTCAAATTGAGTCAATAATAATTTATTGATTTTTTTTTGTCTTCTGAAACAGAATTGTACTTATTGTTTTAAGTGCAGGTATTGTCACTATCCTGTTTTATATGAAATGTATTATAAAAATATATATAGCTTATCAGAAACTAAATATAACTTATTTACCATTTAATGGTTGTAAAGCGGCAATTCAATAAATAAAGTCAGTGGTCGGAAAACCTATACTTTTTTAAAAAAGAAATCAGTGACAATAAACTGCTTTTGAAATGTAGTTATGACTTTCAGGAGATGAACTTTGTTGGAGAACTTATTTTACACCCATGTTCAAAATATTTTTAAATAAAATAAAGTGGCTTATTTAAACATAAGGAATTATTGAGAAATATTGTTTACAAATTTGTCCTTTTGACTTCTATGTTTTTCTTTCTCAACAACATATATTTCATTTTAAAAATGCCAGGAAATTATCAGATAATTGTAATCTTGTTCAGTGTTTTATTCTCTTCTATTTCCTCGAAGAGAAATAGTATATCAAAAATTACTGAGAAAATATGCCCCCATCCATTTTAACAACATGCACAGATTCCTTTAAAATTTCATGAGTGTAAATTGCATTTGAGAGTATGGCTAAACTGCTGAATTAGGTTTTATTTGTTGGGGTAAATCAAATATTAGTTATTATTTGTAATGGCTATATTGAGGAGAAAAAATTTGCTGTTCTGTATCATCGGACATAATTCTTATCAACGTTCCGCCACTAGGACATTCTCATTTCTACCAGATTCTTAAATTTGCTGCGCTTGAACCTTGTTTTACTAAACTAATGTTTAAAGTAGTTGCCAGGAATCGCTACAAAATACAGTTTTTTTTAATTTTTATTACACTGCTCACTACACTATTTCTTTTAAAAGTAATGCATTACAATACGAACTATGAAAAAAGTAGCGACTACAGTAGTTTCACTACTTGTAGCAATTTATTTCTGACAACTGGATAAGGTACTACCACATGTAGTTTCAAGCCTTTAATTTTGATTAAGATTGTCATAATTGTTACTTTTTATTTTAATATAAATGCAACAGAAATAGCTGATATGACAAAAGCTAAATATAAACTATATAATAGTTTTAATATTGCAAAATAACTTGTACAAATGTATACTAAATATCTCTGTAATTAAATTAGAAAAAAATGTAATAGAAGTGCTGTTAAATAAGAGAAATAATTAGCAGATATGTGTTATAATTTTTATTAATTTTATGTTGATGATAGACAGGCTTCCAGATTTTTTTGTTAAATGCCTCATTTATTTGTAATGTACCAAAATAAAGTAATTTTGTTGCTGTTCTGTTACTAATTTTTATGCATGATGAAAATAAACTAAAATAACTGAACCAAAAATATGATAAAGGGCCCCTTTAAAATTAGTCTGATTTTTTTTTTTTTTAAATTGGCCTAACTAGAGAAGGTGGTTCAGATGTTCTTAACATAGATAAATTTTTTATTTCATACGTTATTTTAGTGTTATTAAAGAGATAAAACTGAGAATAATGTAGTTTATTAAAATTATAGAAATACGTATGTAAGTCTTAAAAAAATTGTATCAAAATCACAAATAGAAGAATTTTTTTAAGAATTTCAAGAATTTTTTTCAGCTTGTCAATTTTTACCCTGACCTGAAGTAACAAATTTCACCATGTAAATTTTTTTCCACATGAAATTAAATATTGTAAAGTGGTTTTAGCCATATAGCAATTAGATTGAATAGTTAAACATATGAGGAATGCAGTGCTAGCCTCTTCAGGTATAAAAAATATAATCTTTGAAGAGAAAATGTTTGATAAGACTAAAATATCTTTGTCAATTAAAATGAAGTTGAAATGAAATAAAATCAAGTTGTGAATTTAATTAAGGAAATCAAAAGTTCCTATTACTCATTTGAACTATATGTGCTTTGGAGTTCACATTCTTGGCTTCTCAATATGCTGCCAGGTAAGGTTTTTTTTTGTGTTGTTCGCCATTATTTTTTGCCAAGTCTAGTGTAATTAGAACATTTTTGCACTCTGGAAATAAATTAAGATTGTCCTTAGTATACCTAAGACTTTTAGAGTAAAATTTTTTTTTGTTATAAATGAATATTGTATAAATACTTTGTATGCTCTGTGTGAGAAATTTAAATTTGTTTCATTTAGAACCTTCTTCCACAAAGCTTCTCATTTGTAGTGAATATTTCTAGCCTTCTACAGAGGGAATTATACTGACAATTTTTATCTTTACTTTAAAAGAGTTTAGTTTTATTAAAATTTTAATTAATGTTATTAAATTTATTTTTTAATATTTAGACATTGCAAGTTCTAAATGTTTAAGAATCAATGTTACTGAAGAAGATGAAGACTTATTCAAAAAAGTGCAAGAAATAGCTGAGCAAGTAAGCATTTTTAATTTTATTTTCTCAATTAATTGAAATTTGTTTTCTTTCCTTAGTGTATTAAGTTAAAATAAATTAAATTGAAAAAATAAGGTTTTATTTGTGACGTGAGTTTTTACTTTCAAACTAGCAAGCTAGCCACTTTCAAACTAGCTACTGTGCTTATCTGTATGAGATAACAATGCGATTCAATTCTTTAATGACTGCTACATGTAAACATTTTCGGGAATGGAAATTTATTTACAATTGGAATATTTACTATTTTCCAACCAGTTTTAAACTGGAACTCGGTGATAGAAGGTAATGAAAGTTTTAATTTGTTGCTGATTATTACATGCTTAATTTTTTAGCCGAATCAATTTCTTGTCACTTCAAATTTTGACCCCATTCCAACAAGTTAGGGCTAATAACGGAACTGGTTACACAAATCTCATTTGTGTTGGAGGACATTAGAAATTTCAGTTGCTACCTAAATGAAGCTAGCAAAATTTAAGGTTGACCACTTTCTAACAAAAGCAAACAGATAGCATTCTTGCTATTGCCAGTTTTTGGCCATGGTTTTTACAGTTCCACAATTTTGAGACCGATTGCATGATGGAGGCAACATGGTGCACCGACTACCTTTTCTTTGAAGAAAAACAGTACCCAGGGAGCTATCGCTGCACTACAACCCACCACTTATGTATACAAAACTGTAAAGAAAAAAATAATAAAATTTTTAAAAAATAAATTTTTTTTATTACCTAAGAAAGAGAAAATTGTTTTATTCTTATCAGAAATAAAACAAAAATGTAGAGAAATCACCATCTATTTGATTTAAATTGGATTTTTTTTATTATTTAAATCAGATATTTAAAACAGAATTTTATCTTTTTTATTTTTTTTGCTGCATTAACCAAAACATATGATAAGATGTATTGATACACTTATTATTTAAAAGCAATATCATAGCTAAAATATTTAACATTTCTTACTAAAATGGTTATATTATTATTTAATTATTAATGCTGATGTTTGTACTATGTTTTTATTAGACTTTTACATAGTAGTATAACTATATTATCCTTATCCTATTCTTGTGCAAATTTTGATTTGATTTCAATTTTGGTTAACCTCTTCCCTACTTTGAATTGTAAAAAGTCAATTTTATTGATGCTCTTAGTTGGTAAGTTGGTTTAATGTTATGTCTTATTTAACTTTTTAAAGGTTATTTGTCCCAGAGTTGGCTTAGCTCCGACGCCTAGAAGACCTTCATTGTTACAATTTGGGAAGTATGAAATATCTGTATTGTATTCTTCACCTTATCCAAAAGATTACTTGAGGTAAGAATTTAGATTTAGTTCACTTTATTTCATAAAATAATGCAAATTTATAATTTTATCATGTTTTTTCTTGTTCAAAGTAATTCATATTTTTAATACAGAAATTAAAATTTTTCTAAAATTTAGACATAAAACTACTTTTGATATTTTATTTTCAATAACTGTTTATACTTTTATGAGTTTAGTTTGTAGCTGAATCACTTTAAAGTCATTCAAAAGAATAAAAAAAAATTTGTGATTTCTTAACTCTAAAATAGTTTTATTTTGCAGCCAAATTAGAGCTTGGTTTTATCCTTATACCAGATTGTAGTGTTGTTAGAACTGGTTTTGGTTATAACACATATCAAAAAATTTGTTTTAAATTATCAAAAACTTTAAAANTTAAAAAAAAAAAAAAAAAGCAATTTCAATTTAAATTCTGTTATGTAATTTGCATTGTGTAAATTACCAAATAATGAAATGTATTTCTAAATGTATCCTTGTTTGACAGTTTTTATTAATATATTATATATTTTATTCTATATTATAGTTCACAGTGCAGTTGCAAAGTTATGTCACAGTTGTTCTTAAAAAATAGAGAAACATAACATCAATTTGCTTTTATTTGTTTTTATGATAATTTTATAATTTTTCTGCAGTATGTTATTGTTGAACTTTGAAACTTATTCTTTTATATCTTCATATAGGTTATCAAAATTATACCTCTGTGAATTTTGCCTAAGATTCATGAAAACTGTCAAAACATTAGAAAGGCATTTGGTATGTATTTAATTTGTTACTAATTCAATTTTTATCTTAAAATTAATTTATTGATTATTTAATTTAATCTATTACATTTGTTTAAAATAAAATATATATATTTTTAAAAAATTATGTGATTGCTTGATCTTTGTTTTTGTAAATAACGACAAATGCTGAAATTGTCAGAAATGAAAATTGAAGACTGTCTTGTGGAAGTAAAATGTTATAATGACTGTGTGTTATTATAATTATTAGCTATCTAATAAGAAAGTGATATGATTTGCTTTATTTATTTACTTTTGAACTTTAAGAAATGATAATATCAATGTTTAAATTTTAGAACATTTTTTATAACTCGTTTAAGCAGCTTGTGAACTTTTTTCAGTTAATCCTTTCGACCCGACTTTTTCAGCATTAAAATTTAAGTATGAAAAACAGTTTATGTTAATGCTGACATATTTAAATAAGTATACTATGAGTTTAAAATTTTCCCGTTTTCCTGGAAAATCTCCTGAGACAATGTGTCTCAATCGTCTTGAATATTCCAATAATACCTATATATTGTATGGGTATAAATAATAAAAATTGCATTTAATTATTTATTCTCATCAGAAGTTATATAAACCAGAAATCGCCAATATAAAATAATTATAACTAAAACTACAATTTTGTCTTATAATATTCTTATCCCGAATGTGATATATTGTCCCAGTAAATATACGATTTGAAGAATATATCCCACAAAACAAAATGTGTCAAAATTTCTAATAGGTACAATTATTACTTAATAAGAACAAACATAACTATTTTTCTCAAAATATGGCAACAATATAGTTGTACTTACCTCAAAATTCTGAAAATACGTAAATTAAAATGAGATTGACTGGCGTGCTTGCAAGCAGAAAAACGTCATTTTGAATATGAGAGTGTTGCCAAGTTCCTTTAGTCATATTTTTATTCCCTAATGCCTAAAGAACCCAAAAAACATTAAAAAAACCATGCAAATGGGGATTTGTTTATGCATTAGGGAATAAAGTTTAATCATTGGGACGTATGTATCACATTTGCTTCGTAAGGGTTAAATTTGTAGGGTTTTAATTGTCCTCTTGTCTTTGTGTTATTTATTATATTTCATAACCATGTATCAGCAAATTAGATTGGAAAGAATAATGTTTGTCTTCGTTTCCTTGCAGTTTTAAACCTATCTAAGTATACAATGAAATTTTTGTGAAGTTTAGGGACAAGCTTATTCTGATAATATTTTTGAATGAACCTAACATGCATTTGTGTTATGTAAAAAAGTGAACTGGTATTAGCCAAACTTCATTCAGACTTATCAAAAGATTACCATTGGGGATATTTCATGTGCTTTTTGTGGTTAGTTCAATAACACAGAACATGAACCGTGTGAAACTCAACTAGTTACTTTTGAAGACTTTAAACCTGTATCATCTGTGTCAAAAGCGAGCTATCCATTCCTTTGAGTCCTTCTAAAAATAACTTGATTTTTAGATTTTTTAAATTTAACTGGGAAAATCTTATAATATAAAGAAAACTTGGTAGAAAATAGTTAAGAACCTTGAAAATAGGAAGTATCAATTGAAAATATCTATTTTGTGACCTTAAGCTTTTTCTTTCATAAATATTTTAGCTAAAAGTTTAAACATTTTATAAAATAAATGTTAGACTTGGAAGAATGTTAAAGAATAACGCTTAAAATGTCTTTGAAGTTAAGATATAAAAAACAAGTGAATGCTGCGGAAATGTTTGTATTATAAGAAAGCTTCTATAGTGATTGCCACTTTTAAAATCAATAGGTTGTAAAAAGGATCTAGTAAAATCCAAGCATGTTGAAACCATTTTTTAATGAAATCATTATCCTTGTTTTATAAAATCAAGCTTTTAAAAAGCATATGTTAAAAAAATTAAGCATAGAAATAGTCAAACCTTATAGTTACCTGTCTGTGGAACCAACAATATGTTCACTATATCCAAATTCTTTGGGAAATTATTTTATGTGGGGTCAGAAGATCTAGGAACAATTTTCAATGAGTTTGTAATCGTGTTAAATTATGATTCAATTATTAATTCAGGCTAAAAGTAATTATTTACATTTATTTTAAATTAAATTTTTTAGTTTGCAAAATGCTTAAATAGCAAAACTTTAGTGTCATATAATTTCCATATGCAATTAAATTTATCCTTGATACTCAATGTAATATTGGAAGTTGTACATACTTCTACAAACTATGAGACAATTTTAAATCTTTAATTCTTAATTCTGCTAATCAAACACCACTATTATTAAGGCCTTTTTTTAAATAAAAAAAAATTTAGCTCCTGTTTAATCAAAATTTCCAATGTAAATTAAAATAATTGAAATAAGATATAAGCATATTAATTAAGCTTTTAATATATATGTAAAGTATAATATATATTTTAATATATATTGTAATATATATTGTAATTAATATATATTTTAATATATATTGTAACATAAAACTGTATTAATTAAGCTTTTAATATATTCATAAAGTTTAATTTTTAAATCTTTTGTTCCCATGGTTTATAAATTGATTGCATTATAAATAGACTGGTTTATTAGATCAAATGTTTTTAGAATAAAGGTGATTTTAATTAATAGTACTACTCTTTATTTATTTATTTTTTTTATCTTGTTCTGTCTCATTTAACAAAATTTTTCTTTCTAGTTGAAATGCAAGTTAAGGCATCCTCCAGCTGATGAAATATACAGGAAAGGAGATCTGAGTGTTTTTGAAGTTGATGGGGGATCTAACAAGACCTACTGCCAAAATTTGTGCCTACTTGCAAAATTGTTTTTAGATCACAAAACATTGTTTTATGATGTTGAACCTTTCTTATTTTATGTTCTGACTAAAAATGATAAGAAAGGTTGCCATTTAGTTGGTTACTTTTCAAAGGTAATTCTTTTTACTCTTCTTGCTTGTGGTTACTGGTGTTTAAACATGCACTGCAAAGTTTTATAGATAAATGAAACTATTTAAGTGTGAAAACTAATAACTATGTTCATAAAGATATATTTATGTTAATAAAAATAATAACCACTGTTTTTTAAGGTTAATAGTTTCCAAAGATGATAAATATTCTTTTATTTATTCATTACCATAGTTTTATCATACAATTTTGAATTATAATGACAAACTTTTCATATTTTATTCTTTGTATAAAAATATCAAAGGTCATTTTCCTCAATAGATTTTTTGGTTGTTATGCTTAAAAAACTTATATTAAAATTTTTTTTTTTAAGGTATCTTCCTCTTATTTAACTGATTGAGCAAATCAATATTTTTTGAAATTGTTTTTCACATTTAATTTAGTAAATGTAAAAAATATTATCTTTTCTATCTAAGTTTTTGTAGTTTATTATTAGCAGTCAATTTTAATTAATAAAACCAATTTTATAAAGCAATTAGCAGTTAAATTATTTTTTAAAATTAAATTTGCATTATATGTGTAGATTAAAGAACAAACTACTCTTCTTTAGTATCTAATGATGAAAAGTTGATAATTCTTAATAAAGTGAGATTATTTGTTTTAATTTTACTTTTTTGACAATCATCAAAAATCTTTAAATAATGATTTATATTTCTTAATTTTGTTCAGGTTTTGTTTCAACCAACTTTACTAGAAAAGGGTGTAAAGGTGTTCTATCAGGGAGTAGAGATCATCATTTTATTTTTTTATGTAGATAAATTCTTGGGACACTCCCTTTTTATTATGAGAAATTGTGGCTTTGGGATATTCACAACTTTCACCTCTGTCATTTTTTACTAGCGTAAATGTATGCTAAATTATAACCTATCTAGTTTTTACTAAAAATACAATTAGATTACAAATTTAAAGTCTTGAGATTAGCTTGTTTCATGCACAAAATAAAATTACTTTTTCTATAATAGAGAAAAACTAATTAACAAGAAAGTTTTCTTGTATTTTTTTTTCAAGTGATGCAAATTAGAAATATATTTAAAGTGTTCTGTGGCTGAGTTATTAACTACTAGGCTACATGATATCATGAAAGTATCTATATAATGTGCTTATGTTGAATAGATGAAAGCATTTTCAATATTGTCTTTATTTTTCACCCTTTTTTTTAAAAAAAAAATCCACCTGTTCTTATCAGCTATCTTAAATAAATAGTTTAGTTTTTATAATTTTATTTGTATTTGACATTTTAATTTGATGTTTTTCTCCCTAACAGGAACGATTTTGCCAACAAAGATACAATGTGTCTTGCATAATGGTAATGCCTCAACATCAAAGGCAGGGTTATGGACGTTTTCTTATTGACTTCAGTAAGCTATGTACATTTAGTGTAGTTTTCTTTCTTTCTTATTTTCATTTTTTCCCCATTACCTATTCTGCAGTTATTAGTGAAATTTAAATGAAGGACTTGGGTGATATACTGATAAGCCACGCTTTTTCCCAAAGTGACTTATTTACATTTGACTGATCCTTTATATTGTTTTCATATAGGAACTTAACAAGTTTCAAAAATTTATGAGCAATTAAATAAAAACAATGGACAGAAGCATCTTATTGAGTGCAAGAAAAATTGTGGTGTTTATTTATTTTAACCGAAAAACACTCTCCTGAACGATTTGGAACTGCGACTTATATTGTCCCAAGCCCTTCGAGTTACTAAATATTTACTAAGTATTTTAAATTTCCTTTTTTTTAAAGAAATTACTTTAAATTTTTAAATAGTACATTTTTTTCTTCATTTTTAATCCAATTTGATACCTTAGTTTTAAATGGGAAAACTAAAAAGCAATAATTGGAAGAAAAAAATTAATAAATCACATAAAACATATACACTACAATACAGTATATATATATTAAATTTACAATTACCAATAGCATAATAACTGTAACAAATAGCATAATAACTGAATTTTATAATAAAATTCTATTAAGTATAAACATTCAAACTGACTTTTAAATAATGATTTATACATTTCAAAGTTCTATATAAAACAATTAAAAATATTAAATGAGTTTTTTAAAAAAGTAGAGGAAAAAACTTTACTTTTTGGTACTATTCTGCATTATGACATCCTAGTACAGGCCAGAGCCATTGCAACAAATCATTTCCATATGGCATGATCAGACTCTAGGTTTCTCCATTTGCTGATGCCGATGGTACTAATATCTTTTTCCATAGAATTAATTGATCTGGTGTTTGGTCTTAAACTATTCTTATGAAACTTATTTCAAAACAATTGTGTTGGTAAATTTTAGTTTCTTCCATTTTGCCCAGTTTTTCAGATTATTTTCATTCTTCCAGTGTCTTAGAAAAAATTTGTGTTTCTTTCGGATGAAATGCCAACCCTGTTTGATATTGCAACTGAGAAAATGATTGTAGTACTATTAAAGTTCACCTATTTTTAAATGGGTGCTTGATTTTTATTTTATTGTTCTTAGTGTATAATTCTTTTCTGATTTTTTAAAGGTTATCTGCTATCAAAAACTGAAGGTAGGTGCGGTACGCCAGAGAAACCTTTGTCAACAGTAGGACGCATTTGTTACACTTCTTACTGGGAATCTTCTGTTTTGTCGCATCTGAATAAAGTTGATCGACACAAAAAAATTACAATCAAAAGTGAGAATTATATGTTTTTGCATGTATTTGAGATACTAGTATGCATTGCATTTTTTGATTCATTGTGAATATATGTACAAAAAATTCTATAGAGAATAAATATGAAATAGATGACTTCATTACATATTCATTTTACCTTCAAGCAATTTATTTACAACTGGATGGTTTTTAATAAGTATTTTTTTTAACGGAAAAGAAAAACTTTGTTCTATGAAACTTTTTGTTATATGAATAAAGCTCTGATTTAGAATCAATCTTTACTTACTAATTAATTCGTTTTTTAAAACTTAAAATTCTTAGTTTTTTAAATTTATCATAAAAGTCATTCACAAAAATCTTATATTGTTTTTCCTTTTAAAAATAAACCTTTACAAGTTTTATTTAAACTTAAAATAATTTGAAACATATACTTCCTCGATCTTAAATATTTTGTAATGGTGATAAATTGTGTATTTCATTAAGGTATATGCAAGGCAACTGGTATGACTTTTCTCGACGTTGTATCTACTTTGACCCTTCTTGATATGGTTGAGAGGAATGAAGCAGGAAAGTAAGTTATTTCAAGTTTCTGAAATTTATTTGTTTTATGTGTAAAATATTTAACCCTTTGACTACAAATTTTAAAAAATTATTTTTTTTGTCCCGTTTATTATTCAAAAAGACAAAATAGGTCACAAGTACGGCAAATTTAGTATTTGGGATTTTTTTGACAAGCGGTTATCAATTTAGAGGCTGGGACATATATGTCCCGGCCGTACTTAATGGTGGGATACATAAGTCCCACCTGTAGTGATCGACTCACTACAAGCACATCTATCATTCCAGAAAAAAATTTTATATGGACTTTTTTTTTACATGGTATGATACAGGGTGAAGCAATCTTTGCATAACCCGACATTACACGTTGGACAGCTCATATTTGTTCTTTTTTCTATGTTTATTTGAGAAAATATGAATGGACATAACAATCCCAATGAAGAATAAAAGTGGGATATATCTGTCCCAACGAAGAATACTAGTGGGATATATCTGTCCCAGCACAAAATCACACTACTATTTCCTGCAAGAAACTCTTTAGCACCATCTAGGGGATATTTGACACGTGAAACACGTATACTTGGTACGACTCTACGACTGGGATATATTACAATGAGTTTCTAAGTGCTCTTCCCCCCATTAGTAATTTTTAAACATTTGTTGGGACAAATTAGTCCTGTTAGTAGTCAAAGGGTTAAAATTGTCATTCTTTCAAACAATTTTTATAATGCAAACGAATCATGTGAAATATGTGTTCTCTGGAAGGAGCCGCCAAATTCCTTGATAATCTTCTTTCAATTAGTTTGTCTTCGAATAGCATTGGTATTCATTGACCCCTTAGATCAGATCCACCACCAATTATATTATGATGGCTCACAAGAGTTGATATTGAATGACTACTTTTCTGCAGACCATCCCAAAAATTATGAAAGAAGTCATTTTGGTAGTAAATACGAATATTTAAGTAAAAAATTTCCTTTTTTTTTATTAATGTAAAAAATATAATAGAATAATGTTGAAGGTAAATAGCATCCAGAGTTTTGCTGGCTCAAATGTGCATTTTTGATGACCGTTTTGCATAAATGTTTCTGAATTTCATTGTTATAATGCTTAAATTTACCCCTTGAAAGCATGGGTGGTTGTGAACTTAAATAAGAACAAAAGTAAATAATCTTATTCTGTAAGTTTGCAGGATCTTGGCTGCCAGTTATGATTACTAAAATGGGTAAATACACAATTAGAGACTGAATCAAAATCTGTCAACAATAAAAACGTGTTCTTTTCAGTAGCGCTGCATTTACAATAACTCTGAACTTTTTTTTTTCCTTAAGCAGCATTTTATTTCACAAATAGTGCAAATTTTAGTTTTGTATTAATTTCAGAACACTCTAAGACTTATTAATGAGGTTAAGAAGGCAGATAAAAATAATTTTCTAATTTAAATAAGTTAAATATACATTTAGATAAATCTTTCATAAAATTCTGTTGTATCATAAATATGCATTTTTTTCCTTAAAATATATGGTATTTTTCATCTTTTTTTTAGGTATGTAGTAACAGTTGATGAGGATGTTTTAAAATCATACATGTGTAAAATTAATAAGAAAAAGCCTCAAGAACTTATTGTTGATCCACAATATTTAGTATGGGAACCAAGAGTAAGTTTCCTCTAATAAGTTATTTTCTTTAAAATTTTCAGCACTTCCTTCCATGTTCTGTAAAACAGTTTTTCTTAATTCAACTTCAAGAGCAATAGTTGTTTTAATATTTCTTTTTTTTTTCTTTTTCTTTTCTAAATTTATATTTTCGGAATTTTTAAAATTCTTTAGCATAAGTTTCAGCTCACTCTAAAATCTTATTTCATTATTATAACCTAATACATTGTATTTTATATTGTGAGTATATCAAACTTCATTAGCTATAATTGTTCTTAAAACATTAACCTTGCGGTCACACAAATCAGCAAATTTAAGAACATTTCTCTCCTATACTTTGATTTTCTACTTAGTAGTATGAAAGACTTAATAATCTAATATATTAAACGAAATGCAGTTCAAATCGCTGCTTTCTTTAAGTTTGTTTTACGAAAAATTTCTAACAGACAATTTTATTAAATGCAAGTGATTTTAATAATTGCTGCTTAATTATTGATTGTTCTTCTCATTGGCATGACAGCCCAGGATGGGCCTTGGCCTTCTCAACAAGCCTATGCCAAGACATTATTCCCTTAGCCAAGGTTTTCTAGTTTATAATTCTTAAAACTTGTAGGTCCTTTTCAAGGCAGTCTAAAAATCTTAGGTTTGGCCGTCCTCTTTTTCTTGTACCTGTTGGCCTGGCACTTAAAACTTTTTTGAATTTCCTTTGAATTTTGAAAATCCTTTGAATCTGGAGAATCCTTTGAATATTGATAAATTTAATGACATCAGGTTCTTTATATGCTTTGTAAAGTTCCGTGTTTGATCTTCTAAACCAGGTACCGCTTCTACTTATTCCACCAAAAATGCTTTGTAGTATTTTTCTCTCATGTCTAGCTATTATATTTTCATCTCCATGGGTCATTGTCCANAGATTGTAACTTAGATCGTGAAAATCCGATCATTAGAACAAAAGTTATTCAGGGTGATATCTTTTTTTTTTTGCGGACTGTACCTGTTGGCCTGGCACTGAAAACTTTTTTGAATTTTCTTTGAATATTGATAATTTTAATGACATCAGGTTCTTTATATGCTTTGTAAAATTCCGTGTTTGATCTTCTAAACCAGGTACCGCTTCTACTTATTCCACCAAAAATGCTTTACAGTATTTTTCTCTCATGTCTAGCTATTATATTTTCATCTCCGTGGGTCATTGTCCAGGTCTCACATGCGTATGTAAGCACTGATCGTATAAGACATTTATAGAGTATCCCTTTTGTTTTTCTTTTTATTAGGCTTGACTTAGGATATTTTCTTAGATTAATTATTGATTATCTATATATAATATCTGGCATTTATTAAAACTACTTATATTTTAATATTTGGTGATTATAAAAAGGTAAACTTCATTCTGAGCAAGTCATTTTATAACTTTCTCATTAATTTAGTTTTTTTTAATTATTTTTGAAGAAAAAAAAAACCTTTAGCTGTCTATCTTTCAAACTATCTTGTCTATTTAATATTTTTCATTGAAGTGTTATTAACAATAATAAATTACAGATGAGTGAAAAAATTTCTGTTCTGCAAGAGCTCTAAAATATTGTTTTATACTTACGAGTTTTATAAATAATATGGATCTCAGGATAAGGATAACAAGGTAAAATGAAATCCTAAATATACTGCTGTAATTTTGAGAAAAAAGAATTCACCATCATACGCTCTCCACCTGCTTACAATATTTCAATTTTTTTTTTTATTATCATTACATAGGAGACTCTCCCATACACGCTGTGCTTTCAACTTTAGTCATGATGGTTATTAGCCATTATTGAGGAAAATAAGACATTTTGAACTCAAAAAAGAAAAACATTTCGCACCTCTCCCAAACACGCTGGAGACTCTCCCATGCATGCTGTACTTTCAACTTTAGTCATGATGGTTATTAGCCATTATTGAGGAAAATAAGACATTTTGAACTCAAAAAAGAAAAACATTTCACACCTCTCCCATACACGCTGGAGACTCTCTTATACACGCTGTACTTTCAACTTTAGTCATGATGGTTATTAGCCATTATTGAGGAAAATAAAACATTTTGAACTCAAAAAAGAAATACATTTCGCACCAAAAACAAACTCAAAAACTTTCAAACGTAAAATGCACAAATTAAGAACCACACGCAACTTTGGAAGCACTTTCATCTAGGTATGAAAATAAAGTCGAAACTGTTTACTATCTTCAGTAGACTGGAGGTGGATAAAAACAAAACACTTCATGCTGATCATGTGTTGCTGATAACCATATGAACAGGAAGAAGAAAAACATTTTTCTTTTTACTGGACGAGAGTGCTTTACCCACCCATCCACTCCCGAGAACATTCTCTCGGGGAGGGAATGGAAATAAACATTCTGCCAATCGTGATATGATGATGACCTCATCAATAAGAATGGCAAGAAATTTTTCTCCTCTTTGTCTCTTTTCGACAAACGTGCTTTGCTTACCCATCCATTTTTTAGAACTATCTCTTGCAAATGTGAGTTTGAACTTAAACTCTGGCTTCGTGATTTTTCACAGCGCTTGATTTTTTTGCTTTGCACTATTGTTTTAACCTATTTTCCGAATCCTCAGAACACAAGCATGCATGTAATTATTCTCATATTGTAATATTAGGAATTTGTTACACATTCGTAGGTGACGTGATACAGTCAGCCCATCACCAATCAAGAACGTGCCTTATCCTACCATATATTAATAAAAAAATAATAGTTGAAAATAAGAAAAAATAAACCATTTTCAGAACAAATCATTATTTCAGAATATTTTGTTAACGTTTATTCTTTTATTAATTCCATGTCGATAGCTGAGCCTGCAAGAAAATAAAATCACTGGATAAGCTGCTCAACATGACAATTTAACCTTAAAATACAAATAGGCCATAGCGTATGTACTGGAAATTACTGAACATTTTTTACCCTCTAATTTATGAATAAAAACATTTGTGTATTTTTTCTATTCCTTTTTTAAGTGATACTTATAATTGTTCCTCAATTTATATGCTGCAGCACATTATTTATGGCTATAATATTAATTAAAATGATCATAAGTTAAAAAGAACTTGTGTGTGATTTTTATTCGAGACCTAGAGGTAAAAAGTGTTAGGCTATACCTTATTAAGCTTTCCTTTCTGTAAAGACATAGTTTTGCCCAACAAGAGCTTTAATTTTTCCTAGAGAGTTTTCTCTCAAGAGATGGCAACTTAAGAGGAGACTCATTTGCAGTGTCTTTAATGGGGAAAATATGTTACTATGGGACTGCAAATAATTTCCTTTGTCTCTTTTTACTCTAGAAATCTTAATTTGTAAAAGTAATAATTCAATTACATTTGTAAACTTTGATGAAAATTCAGATAGTGCTATTATTATTATAACATGTATTTTAGAACTGCTTGATTTTCTTGTTAAAATTTTATTTCTTGGTTTCTTCTCAATAAATGATTTTTTTTCAGAGGGTTGTTAAAAATGATAATTGCAAGAAGTGTCGGAAAGAAACCTCTAAAGTCCGTGACAAAAAGAAACAGTACCTTAGTGAGCGTACAAAGACTAACAACAAAATGGAAAAAGTTTTTGTGGGTGGACTTTGGTATTCAAGAGAAAAAATCAAATGTGAAACTTGTTTACTAACTCAAGAAAGAGAGAGGCGGAAACTTCTGAAGCATAAAAATAAAAGAAAATTGTCTGATCTTGATACACTTTTAAATGAACCTAAAAGGAAAAAGATTAAGCTATCTAGCCTCCATAGTTCTTTATTAGATTCAAGTGATGATTCAATAGATTATTTAAAATATACAAGTGCAAAAATTAAAAACTTAAAAAGAAAACTTTTACGTAAACATAAATTAAAGATGCAGAAAAGGTATCAGGAAAAACAAGAAACAGGTGAGTTAATTTACTCTTTTCTGATTTTTTTCCTCGGTAGTTGCTTCTCATTTTCCTTGCTTTATTGCATTATCTTTTTTCTTGGCAATAGTCTATGTTTGTGTTTTTTTTTTTTGTTACATTGTACACTATTTTTTTTCTCCAATTTTTTTGACTTATGAATTTTGTTTTTGCTACAAGTGAAAGAATTGTAAGATAATCCTATCTAAGCATATAATCTGATTGTCTGTGATATATAGGTAAATCCAGAATTTCTAGCTGGTGTCTTGTTTTGGGAGAAATTGTCATGAGACCTATTTCTATGAAATATATATTTTATGAAAATCACAAATAAGACTATGAACATATAATACTCAGGGATGAGATTTTTCCCCTTTTTTCACTTTAGTCTTTTGAATTTCAGCCTTTTTATCAAAAATTCCGATTCTCTAAAACTTTTACTTTTTTTAATAAATATTCCGATTTTCAAAGATAAACAGAAAATTCAAACTACGCAACTCCCCTTCCACATTTTTACTTATTTTAGATATTTTCTTCGCTTTTACGTGCAAAAGATAAGCTTTTCCGCATTTTTACCCGCCCACCAGATAGCTAATATTTTCGTAAGTCAAACGACGCTGCTTCAGACAAGCCTTTTAGAAGTCCCAAGCCCAGAATCTGCTAATATTTCAATCCTTATTTGCGCGATTTTAATATCAAACGTAGCTTTTAGTATTTATGTGATTTAAAAGTTGTGCGTTACAATTCTTATTCACATGATTTGAATATCGTACATTGCAATTCTTGTTTGCGAGATTTAAAAATCCGATATCGCGATTTATCATTATGCGTTTTTAAAATCCTTGGTAGCGATTCATATTCTCGCGAGTTTAAAATCCTATGTCGTGATTCGCTCTTGCGGTTATAATATCAAACATTGATTTTCTTATTTATACGCGATTTAAAAATAAGGCATTGGGATTCACGAGATCTAAAAATTATGCATCGTGATTCGTATTTACACTATCTAAAAATTATGAATCCTGATTTGTATTTATGTGATCTAAAAATTATGAATTGTGATCTATATTTTCGCGATTTAAAAATTCTATATCACAGTTTGCATTTTCTCATTTTCAAGATCGAATATCGAGTTTCATATTCACTTGATTTCAAAATCCATTATAGTGATTCATATTCACGAGACTTTAACATCCGAAATCGCAATTTGTCTTCACGTGATTTTAAGATCAACTATCGCGATTCTTGTGAGAAGTAAGTTTTTTTTTCTTGAATTAGTTACTATAAAGGTTAATGTTTTTCTATCGACGATTATTAGTATGTGTGGGCATTGTAACTTCAGCAAAACTGGAACAGATTCAAAACTTACATTCTGTGCTTGAAAAAAAGAAAAAGTAGTAATTGTGAAGAGATATTTGAAGATGAGCTAACGACTAAATTAATCACCAATCTGTTTGTGTCAGTTTTGCTATTACTACATAAATAGGTATAAAACTTTTCGCAACTGAAGCACCCTTCATTCACAAGCTGTATTACAAGCATTTTGATCTTGTTAAAGGATTTGTTTTGTTTTTTTTGCTTGTTTTGTGAAACATGAAGTATTTGCAGCAATCGGAAATTAAACAAAAATAATAAAAAAAGGATATAGCAAACAAAAGCAATCACTTAAAAAGTCATTAAATTTTTTTTGGAAAAAGAATTCATTTAAAAAATAATGTTACTGCTTTTTATACTATGAAATGCAAAATTCTTGTTAAATGAAAAATAATTATCTAAACAGTTACTGACTATCATCTAAATTTTCAAACTAAAATAACATTGTTTGTATGTTAAGGAGTTACTATATATTTCTACTTCACAGTTATTGATATGTTTCACAGGGCTCTTGCTCGATTAGATTATAATATAAACATGGTGATTCCAATTGTAAAAGTTTATTTTCTTTTCTAAATAATTTAAAAAATTATGTTACTGATATATTTGAGTCAAAATTTTAATAGCGGTAACACCCAAAATTCGATATCATAATTTTTACATTTTTTGCTGTTTTTTAAAAAGTATATATTATACAAAACAATAGCCAAAAACGATTTTTTTCATTTAATTTATTTTACAAGATATTAACAATTGAATTTTAAAGCTCTTTTTAATTAAAAAATAAATATCTAAGGATAGAATGAATGGATTTTAAAAAAATGTATTTCATTTTACGCGGAAATAATTGAAGTTTTTGATAAAATAATTATAATAAAACAAATGTTTAAAAATTTTAATTTTTATTGCAAAATTAAGTTGTAAAATGAAAAACAAAAATGTTGTTAATGTCGTACAAAGTTCAAACAAAACCCATTTTAAAGTAAATTTTATTCTGAACAAAATGGCTTNATGGACTAACGACTAAATATAGCACTTAAAAAGTGATTCAAATTTTTTTTTTTTTTTTTTTGGAAAAAGAGTTAATTAACTCAGCTCCAAAATTTAAAAAGTAATGTTACTGTTATTTATGCTATAAAATGCAAATTTCATATCAAATGAAAAATAATTGTGTAACCAGTTGCTGTTTATCATGTAATTTTTCAATTTTTGTAGGTTGAGGGGCTAGCTACTATATGTTTCAACTTTACTGTTATTGATATGTTTCACAGGCTCTAGCTAGATTATAATATGAACATAATGATTCCAATTGTAAAAGTTTATTTTCTTTTCTAAATAATTTTAAAAGTCATGTTACTGATATATTTGCTATAAATCACGTAACAGTATTTATTAAAAGAAATGGAATATTAATGTATGTTCTCAGTATTAATTTGCTAAACCAGGCAGTTTCTCAAGTAATAATTGTCTCTTGTGTGAACTGAAGAAAAATATAATTTTCTAGCTTTATTTTTTCAATTGGCAATTTTACTTTTTACTCTCAATAAAATCATTCATATGCCAAATTAGTACACAATTTTTATGTGAAAACATTGTTATTATCTTAAATTTTCTGGAATTTATTATTAAACGATTGCACATGCGTAAAATTTACTTAAGTGGAAATTCAGCTTTTTTGCCTTTTGGCCAATCTCATCCCTGAATACTGAAAATCTATAGCATGCTAACTTGTCTGTTGTTGGTTAGTAGAAAAATTTCATCTTCTTTAAGTATAGTTCTTCCAGTCCATTTAAATAAGTTTTAGTCATTAGTTCACTCACACACTTTTGTGTAAAGGGAGATTAATTTTGAATAACAAGAATGCAAAAAGAAATATTTATTATACATTGTGGTAAAATGTGTTTTGTGAAAGAAAGGGATCGTTTAGCGAAGGATCCCTTTTTCAACTTTGGAAAGCTGCCTTTTTTGAGATATGGATTTTGAGGGTCCTTAAATTCCTACCTGAATCTTTTGATAGTAATCTAAAGCTGTGCGTAGTTTGCTCAAACATTTAGTAATCTTGCTGGATCAATAAGTAAATTTGTCCTCTTTGTTGTGTATTTAAGACACACTTATTTATTAAATAGGAAAAAAAAACTAGAGATAGTGCTTTTAATACATTGACTTAAAACTAGTGTGATACTTGAAATCTGTGGTGTATCTAATGGATACCCATTCAACCTATTGGTTAAGGATAGTATTTAAATTCAGCAGATGCTCTATAATCAACGTATGCATCCACTAGATCTATTTTTTAAAGTCATCTATTGTCATTGTGCTTTCATGTTATTCTATTTTTCACATTTGCTTTTACGACAAGTTATGCAGCTTTTCTTACCACTATTTTTAGTGCCCTGAAAAAGCAAGGGTACAAAGAGTTCTTCCTGGTCAGAATGTCATTGCCTGTTGGTTGCAGTATTTTGTAGAGTTTAGTATTTGCAATTTATTTCTTTGTATTATTTATGTTCAGAAGTGATCATGAATAATTTTTATTTGTGTTTTTGAACATGAATTATAAAGAAGTGAAGTTGTCACTTTTTTTTTTCAAGCGTTGTAAAAACATATTAGTGCATTCTGAAAGAAGGTGCTTTTTATAATGTAGTTTCTGAATACAAAGAGAATAAAATAATTAATAAATTGACTAAGCTTGCATGTATTTCAATGTGTTAATAAAGTTATGAAAAGGTAATAAGAATAAATGAAAAACAAAGCCTTGTTTCTGAATAACTTTATATCCAGTCAATTTTTCAGTAATCTATTTTATTTTTATTTAAAAAGAACTGATTAAATTACTAACTAAATAATCAAAATTAACCATGTATAGTTTCTTTTTTTTGTCAAATTGATTCTTGTAAAATAATTCTAATTTTTGTTTTCTAACATTTGCACTCGTTAGGAAAAAAAAACTAATCTAATTAGATACATTTCTTGCAGACATTTTGAAATATGCTGTGCTGGGTGAACACAAGAGCTCAAAAATAAAAGTTCATGGATTCCTTAAAAAATCAAGTAAATTAAATATTGAGTGCCAACGAAAATTAAAACACAAAAGGATCAAAAAGGAACGCTGTAAGAAATTGAGGAAGAAGAATAAAGGCAAAGGTTTTTCAGAAGAGGCTTCGAAAGACAAAAGGAAACACAAGGTTAAAATGAAAAAGAAAGACGGGAAACCTAGTGAGAAAGAAGTAGAGAGAGATGGCGTAAGAACACCGCCAGTTTTGCTTCCCGCTGTTTTATCTGATGACGATGTATCTTCCCGAGAGGTAAACTCTGCTTCTGAACACGATCTCTCTCCTCCACCACTTCTACAGGCTCTTGTTATGGAATGCATTGAGCAAAAAGCTGGATCGCCGATTATAGAAGAACCAGATGATAAAGATCTCTCTGAAGATGCTACTACTGGAGAGGTAAAATATTTTTTATAAATTTCAACTGCTATTTATGTTTATTTCCTAATTCCTGATAATAAGTTTTTTTAAAAAGAAAAATTCTGTTAATTAGTTATAGAATTAAGTAAGAAAATAACTTGTGTACAATAATTTACAAACATTTATTGTTTTATGTTGAAAAATCTTATTAATCTAATTCAGTTTAATACCTTGTTGTTTCATAGAAGCAATGTTATGCTTGGCATCCAAAAATCTGTTTAAATAGTAAGCTGATAAAATTTTAAAATTGAAAAAATTTGTGATATTTCGTTTGTTTTTAAATTTCAATATTTTTTATTTATAAGGTAAATTGTATTTGTGTTATTAATTATTATTATATACCTGTACAACGTGAGCAAAATGAGAAAAATTGAGTTTTTTTAATGTCTGTGGACTTAAATTACTAAAACTTATAAAAATTGTTCATGATATGTATATTGTTCTATATGAAATTGATCAAAGAAATAATAATATTTAATTCATAATTTTTATGGCTTTCAAAAACACTTATTTTGCTTAAATGTATGTCAAAATTGTGTTCAATTTTTATTCCATTGATGTCAAGCTATATTAATTCTTACTTATTTTGTTTTATTATCTAATAATATTTGTATTTGAAATATAAGATTTTAACTGCTGATCCTTCAAAAAGTATTAAAGGTTTGATTGCATAAAAAATGAGAAATATTTAGTTATTGAAATATTTATTTATTATTTCATGCAATGTTTTCTTTTCTAAAGATATATTTTATTATTTTTACTAGATTGAAAGTATATTACATGTTCCACCTGAGACAATAGCAATAGAGGAAATAATGAGCAAAAAAGAGGAGGAGTTCAAAACACTTGAAGAGACTATCGATACTGCAAATAATAAAGATCTTGAAGTTGAAGAAATAGTAAGGTCTAGATGTGAGGAAGATAGTGCAAATCCAAATGAAATTATTTCTAGAACAGGTTCTGAAAGTCACGTGCCTATTGAAGTAGATGAAGAAAGCAGTAAATTGAGTCTAAATAAAGATGTTACCCCACTTCTTGAAGAAACTAAAGGTTCTGAAGAAGATATTATATATCAAGAAGAACCTTGTTTACAAGAACCTGAACAAGAAGATAAATCGAATGATAATTTTATTCCCGTCGAAGATAACAAAGTGGAATCTCTTGAAATAGAAAGCGAAGAAATGAAAAATGAAAAGTTTCCCGATGATCTTGATGCTGATATTGTGGAAATTGCCTTTCATCCCAGACATGAAGATCTGGGTAGAAACACTATGCAAATATCTGAATCCATTATGAATGATTCAGACAGAATGCCTATGCAACATGAGCTTAAAAATGAAGAAGAAGATAACGAAGTTAGGGAAGCGGTTGAAATAATAAATGAACAAATGGAGCATACATCAACCATCGACATGCCTTTAACTCCACAAACACCAGAATCCGATCATTCTAGGACCTACCATCATTTGAGTCCTTACAATTCTCAAGATGACTGCAAAGAAGAATGTATGCTTAGTTCAAATGAAGTTCAAGAAATCGAAGAGGTAAATGTTGATTGTCAAGTAATGGAAGATGTCAGTGAGATGGATGAGAGCATTCATGACTGTTCTTATGCTGATCAACACAAAAGTGATGTTCAACAATCTAACTCTGATGCATATCGTCAGGAAATGATGGAACAGCCTGAAATAATTGTTGAACTCCCTCAACAAATATCTCAACCTCTATCTCAGACATCACAATTGTCCAATCCATCAACTCCAGTTGGAACCATAGTTTCTAAGCATACACCGACTCCTCAGGAAATGTCAAGCATGGGAGTGTATACACCTGACTCTTCAACTAATAGCGGATATAATTCTGTGGAAATCGATGTTTGCCAATTGGGACTTGAGTCTCCTACATCAGTTTGCAGTAGTGAAATAACTGCGCAAAATTCCGTAGAAACTCATTCATCCTCACCACAGTCCTATCCAGACTGTGCTCAGTTAAATAACAATTCTTATTGTGCCAATGTTGAAGCATGCTCTAATCCCAGTAGGAGAGAAATGATTGCTGCTGCTGCAGCCGCACAGGCGGCTGTTGTTCAGGCGCAGGCACAGGCCCATCACAATAACACTTCTGGTCATTGTATAAATACCTCAAACCGTAAAAGGCAGCAGCACTCCTCTGGGATGACCCAAAGAATGGCTAACATTGCTCCCAATGGACCAGTCTCCAGTTTGATGCAGTCTAGCATGGTGAGTGTTAATGCTACTGCAGTCAATGCGTTGTTTGTGGGTCCTGCACCTAACACAAATAATGGTTACATGAATGCCATGAACATGAGTGTACCTTGTAGCAATGCTACAGCAGGTGGAGGTCCTGTTGCAGGATCATATATGGTTGGTGTTCCTGTAGCAACAGTTATACAGCCACAATCAGCAGCTGCATTTGCTGCAGCCTCTATGCAAAATCATCATCAACTTCAACAGCCTTCACAGAATTTCTCTGTGACTAATCATCCATCTGGCACAATTTCTGGTGCTATGCAAAGATTGACTCATGTTGGTGTATCCCCAAATATAGCTCCAAACTCTTGTTCTGTATCATCAGTCACACCTAATTTTCACATACAATCTCCTAGCTACACCTATACTCCTACGCCCACTCCCACACCTAATACACCTTCACAAATAGGCACTAGCTGCAGTCTTGCAAAACTTCAACAGTTGACAAATGGAATAATGGATATTGTTCCCACCAATCCCCCATGTAATACCATGACTCCCCCTCCCAATATGACTCCCCCATCCCCACAAGTAAATATGACACCACCTCCTCAAATGCAGCGTTCTTTAACTCCTGCTATGACTGGTCTCCAATCTCAGCTTCCTATGCAATCTAGTTCTCATAATTATAGTAAATACCATTTTCATCATCGCCAGATGCAGAGAAACACAAATGTTGCTCTTAGTCCTAACCTTGTAGCTAGTTACAATACTATAAATGGGGTTAGTTATCGAATTCAGCAAGCTCCTTCTGCAGCTATGTTAAATACTGGTTATATTACTAATGCTGGTTTCATAAATCAAGCACAACTACCACCTTCTGCAGCAGTACAGATGGGCATGGTCAATGTAAATATGCATGGTCAAACTCCATACCAAGAAACTCTTCAACCTAGTAGACCACAAAATGCAATGTATACTACCTACAGTTATCACATTAGTGGTAATTTACAACCACAGTCTTTAAATTCAGTCATGCGACGGTAAACCTATTTCCAAACTCTACATTGTTTTTATTGTAGAAGTTGAAACAAAAATGTGATTTTTATGACTTGCCTACCTCATGTGCTTTAAAAGAGGATGCACATTTATCAGTCAAACATTGTTATTTTCTTTTTATTATTTTTGTTAAATACAAAGTTTTGTTTAGATCCCATAAAAAATAGTTTATTCTGAATTAATTCTTTATATTTAACCCCAAATGAAAGGTACAGCTATAAATATAAATGATAATACACATTTATAAATTTCTGAAATAATGAACCATGTTTTCTAGTGAGGAAATATTTATTATTTAGTAAATTATTCTTGTAGATTTATTTGTTCTTGTGAATATAAATTTTTTTTATACTATAATTTGTTTTTAGCTCTAAAATATAAAAATTAGAGATAAAAGTTCATTGTGATTTGTTCTAAAAGATTTTTTTTTTATTCATCAAAATAATAGTGTACTTTAAACTAGGCTTCAAATTTTCGGTTAGTAGTAGTTCATACAAAGATGCAAAAAAAAAGAAAAAAAAAAAATTTTTTTTTTAATGTTTTAAATGCAAAATCTACAAAATTAGCAAACAATTAACCAATGGTTTATAGATGAAGTTTTTTTGACATAAGTATTTTTAGATTGTCGCTGGGTTGCAGCTTCCCCTGTCATTAATTGCCCTTTAGTGTAGCTATATTATGATTTTAAAAACAATTAATCAACAACTTACATTTATTACAAATGAAAAGGATTACTTTAGAAATTTTAAAATTTGATTCATATATATACTCAATAGAAATATGTCTAACTATCAGATTTTGTTTTTTAGAAAAACAACGCTTTATGAAAAATTTTCAATTGAAATTCATTAGTTTAATTTTATTCTATATATTTTAACATNATCATATTATTGCATCATATCTTTTGCAGTATTTCACATGTACCGAGTTCTTTCTTTCAGCCTTTAAACTTCAACATTCATATTATATTATAATCATTTCAATATTTTCTAATTAGGCTAACTTAAAAAGATATTTTTGGCGAAATTTTGTTCAAATGTAGCCAAATAAGGGATAAAATACAAAACATCTCAAACCTTAAGAATTATTCACAATGAGATATTAACTTTCCAAAATTTTTTTTGACCTTACGATCTCTGAGAATCAATACATTTCTGAAAGCTCTTATGAATGGTACAATTATGTTTAGATTTGAACCCAAATTACAATATCAAAACTGCATAGAATATTAGTCTTATTCACACATCGCCTCGTAGTCATAACATAAGCGGAGGGATACACCGGAAATTTTCTAAATTTCTTCCGGTTTAAGGACGCTTGTTATTGTTTACATTAGACCACCCATCCATACTCAATAGAAATATGTCTAACTATCAGATTTTGTTTTTTAGAAAAACAATGCTTTATGAAAAATTTTCAATTGAAATTCATTAGTTTAATTTTATTCTATATATTTTAACATGTTAACAGATGTTTTTTCTTTTTAATTTGATTCTAAACTGACCACCTGTTACTTTTTTTTTTCTTCTCAGTTCCAACTGCTTAAATTTAAAACTGTTTCAAAGTTAAAAAAGATTTTTTATTGTTAATTATTTTTATTAAGTTATTTAAATTTTTACTGAGTATTTAATAGTAGTATTTAAGAACTTCTGAAAGAAGATTTTTGTACTCATTTGCATTGTTAAAATCTGAAATAGTTCTATTGCAAATCACAATCGTTTGCTCCTGATAAATTTATTTCTATTATCTCTTTTTGCTTCTGAGAATCTATGTTGTTCAACTTTATGGATATATTTTTTTTTCTGGTTCTTTCTATTTTAGATTATCTAAGCTTGACTGCTAAGTTTTTTTGGCATGTTGTAACATTCATATATATATAGTTTTCTCCCTAAGAATAAAAAAGGGCAGGGTACTTAACCTCGTTAAAATTTATCAAAATGTGTAATATTATGTAATAACTGAATTTGATCCTCAAACAACAATTTCTGATTGTTGTCCTCTTATACTTATTTTATGCATGTATTTCAAAAATTAATTCACTTCTTACCAAAATAAGAGAATAATTTGTTTATAAAAAGTAATTAAAGGCATACTTAAAAAAACAATCATTGTGCCCAATTTTTTTTAAAAAGTAATCTAAAATAATGATTCATTAATAAACAGTTTAAAAACTTTTTTCAAAAATTGAAATTATAAACATTTAAAGGTGAATTTTTTTTAAAAAATTTATTAATATACCTCCTTCACGAAAAAAGGGAAACTTATAAAAGTTTAACCAGTTGAGAATAATCAATAACAAAATAAATGTTCCTAATAAACAGAATTGAACCTACAACCACAGATAATTTCACAAGTGTGTAATTATTAAACAAAAAATTATTTTTATTATTTTTTAAATGGAATATGAATAAAGTGGTGGGACAGTGGCTTATTTTTACAAAAAGGCACATCAAAGGGTGGGTAGCCCTTCTGAAAATGCTTAGGGAGGACTCTGTATGTATATAATTGTAGCTCTTTCTAAAATCTTTTAACATTTTACGTATGCATTTATTTTTAAAAATTCTGATAAAAACAGTAAAATATGTATAAAGGGAAGAAAAACTAATATACATAAGTATCTCCTAAAATTGTTTTGCTTAGTTTAATTATGAACAATTCTTAGCTTAGTCATAGTGGTATTATGCTTTTATTCCTTGTATTTTCCTTGTATTATACCTGAAACTCTAGTTAAATTTTTAATAACTTTAAATTGAGACAGATTTGAACTTATTTTACTAAGTAATTGTAACCTTTAATTTTTTTTTATTTCTCTCAAATTTCTGTTCTTCTTTCATTTGCAAAGATAAGCTGGGTTTATGTAATCAATATTCAAAGTTAGTTGCAGGAATAAAACCTTAATTGAGTTTAAAAAAAATGGTTCAAAATGTTTTTATTTATTCAATTTATATTTCTGATCCATTTGCGTATAGGTTATTTAGTAAATTAGTATAAATGTATGGACATGTTTGTTTGTACCTGACAAATGTTTCATTTTTTTTTTTTTTAAATTCATCATTTTTTTAAGCTCAACTTTGTTGAATTTAGATTCTGATTGTACATTGTAAAGTTTATTTGAAATTTTTTCTTTTTCAAAATTCCAGATTAGCTAGTAATGACTATCAATTATAAATAATGAGTATCTGAAATGTTAGATTTATTTATATTTAAGTTTTATTTATATAAAATATGCTACTTTTTTGGGGGTTTTTTTTATAAGACAATAACTAAATTATTATTTGAATCAATGAATTTGGGTTCATGTGTAATCCTTGATCATTAGTGGGAAGAGAAATTATTAAAAATCACATAAATCTTACTTTTACTCTAACCTACTTTTCAAAAAACTAATATTTTTATCTTGTTATTTGCACTATTATTGTTTGCTGTAAATAACACTATAATGTCTATTGTTTATTATTATTATATGATGTCGATTTTAATTTACTAAACGGTTATTTTAAGTTACTATTTGTAGAAAGTTTTCTATTCACATTTTGCCTATATGTATATTGACGCAGTCTCTAATTTTATATTAAAATTAAGTTATTAATATCTATTACACTGCCATGCTTTTAATTTGCATTCATTTTTTTACTGAATACCATAGAAATATGGAAAGCTATGCATTTACTGTTGTTGGAAATTATCTTAACTTCATTGCTAGACTATAAACTTTGCATTTATCTTCTTTTTCTTTGATATGAACTTCTATATAAATCAGCTGAGAATGAAATGTTTAATTAGGTGATTAACACTATTTTGGTGACTATAAAACTTCCCTTTTGTGAAATTATTTTAAATTCTTGAATTATGAATTTTTTCCCTGTCATTACAGAATGCCTCGAAATTCATTCAAACAGAAAGCTTTGATTGAAAACAGATATCTCATATAAAATTTTTGATTTTTTTTAATTGATTTTATGAGGTGTTTGTTATCGGGCTAAGTATGAAAATAGTATTTTCAGAAATCTCTTGGATATGCTGGCATCTTTTTGTCGAACTTTTTAAAAGATAATTTTGCATGTCCCTGGCAAAATTTTATTGATACAACACTTAATTTCCTACTTTTTAGAATGGGTGGTTGTGGACTTAGAAGAAGACCTGCTCAGGGTCTGATTTATCAAAAGGTCTTAGAGGCCCAGGATCCTCCTTAATGTTATAAATAGGGATATTTTTTGTGTATTTACATTAAGAATTATCTATTAGAATTATGAGTTAACAAAAATTATAAGTTTAAATTGACAAATATATCATAATTCATCTAAGTTTTAAATAATTAAAAATCATTATGTAAATAAACAAGTAAATTTTGTCTGAAGTTAAGAACAGTGGGGTTCCTTGACAGTTCTGTGCTTACAAGTCCTAAATTTCTAAATCGGCACTCACTCTTTCTCTAGCATGAAATTGCATGACCCTGGGAAACAGTGATCAAAATAATTCTTAAAATTTTTTTTCTTTATGTATTGCCCTTATTTTATTAACCACTAACTATCAGCTATTTTTTCTTTTTATCGACAGCATTTTATTGCGCAAATAAGGTGAACATTTAAATCGTGTATACATTTTTAAACACCCTTTATAATAATTAGTACTTTCAATTGTATTTTTAGTGTTGTGTATGTATTTTATGACTTTCCTAATACTTTTTTTAATGGATTTAACTGTTTTATTCAATATATCCCGGTGAAAGATAAAAATAACTAATGAAATTTCAATCAATGTCAGCTTACAATTTATAGATTTTATTAAATTATTATAAATTTCTGTACATAATCGTAATATTTATTTACTTTTCGACAGTGGATATTGTTTTGACATAATCTTTTATTGGTATTTTATCTGAATATATTTCCATTCATTTTTTTAACATTTTAATTGGATCATTCTAAATTACTATGAATTTTTGTATATATATATATAGATTCTTATTTACCTTCCAATGACTTGAGAACTCAGAAAACCAAAAAAGAAAGTTAAATTTTTATATTTATAAGTTTTTCGTTCAATGAATCTTTATATTGTCTAGTTTTTACTAAATTATTATAAATCTATGTATATAGCTTTGAAATTTATATACTTTCCAATAGTGAACATTATTTTATCTTAATCCTTATAGTTATTAGTGTAAATATAATTCAATCATTTTTAATA